CAATTCACCGACCAGCTAAGTTCCTTGATCAAGTATTTTTCCTTTCATCCCCTGGGAGGGGGAGTTCTGTAGCGAGTAGATTATCCCAATAATATACTCGCTCCAAATGCATTGTTAATATTCCTGTCAACCTTTGGAGATGAATGAGGTGAGGCGTTGCCCGGGCAACACGGTGAGGTGTTGCCCGAGCATATAAGCAGCAGAAAAGCAAACATTAACCAGAGTCTACTTTCAAGTGTGGTCTAGAGCAGACACTTGCGAGATACTGTACCGACGCTCAGTGCGCTCAACTCACACCAAAGTATCACCGGTGTACTTCTGTATATTCGACCAAATATATATATAGTATCTTAGTGTCTGTGTTTATTTGTCACCATACTTTACGTAACAATAGAACCGTTACAACCTCCTGGAACCTTTTGTTGAGTTCCTCACACACCTCTTTGTCATTCTCTGTGTACCTGTCCTCGCCCACCCTAAGTTTCATCACCTGTTCCTTCACTGTTGTCTTCCTCCTGATGTGACTGTGTAGTAGCTTTGGTTCGGTCTTGGCTTTATTAGCTATATCATTTTCATACCTTTTCTCATGTTGTTGTTAAAGATTCGCTACCTGGAACAAAAAGTTCCAAGTAACACGGGCTATGGTGAGCCCGTAGTGCCTTACCTTTTCTCAGCTGCTCTTCTCACACTAACATACTCGTTCCTGGTTCTCTGGTATCTCTCTCTACTTTCAGGTGTTCTGTTATTACGGAAGTTCCTCCACGCCCTTTTGTTCAGCTCCTTTGCTTTCATACATTCCCTATTAAACCATGGATTCTTCTTTTGCTTCTCTGTTTTTTCCTGTCGGGCTGGGACAAACCTGCTTACAGCCTCCTGACACTTTTGGGTGACATAGTCCATCATGTTTTGTACGGACTTGGTTCTGAGTTCTGTGTCCCATTGTATATCCCTTAGGAAATTATTCATCTCCTCAGAGTTTCCCTTTCGGTACGCCAGCCCTTTGTTTCCCAGTTCTTTTTTGGGAAAGATAATTCCTAGCTCAACCAGGTACTCAAAGCTTAATACACTATGATCACTCATTCCCAAGGGGGCTTCCAACTTAACTTCCCTTATATCCGACTCATTTAGGGTAAATATCAGATCAAGCAAGGCTGGTTCATCCTTTCCTCTCATTTTTGTCGGTCCCTTGACGTGTTGACTGAGAACGTTTCTTGTTGCCACGTCTAGCAGCTTAGCTCTCCATGTGTCTGGTCTTCCATGTGGGCCTCTGTTCTCCCAATCTATTTTCCCATGGTTGAAGTTTCCCATGATTAGTAGTCTGGATCCGTTCCTGCTAGTCACAGAAACTGCTCTCTCTATTATATTGATGGTGGCCATATTTGTGTTGAGTAATTTGTGGACTTAAATGATTTTGGGTATTAGAACCCCAAGCACAAATACCATAGTTGAGATAAGGATAGATGAGAGAATAATAGAGTGTCACCAGGGCAGGGCGAGGTACATAATATCTGATCTTAGAAAGAATGCCAACAGTTGTTGAAACTTTTTTTGATATATAAAAATAAAATAAAATAAAATAAAATGTTTATTTAGGTAAGGTACATACATACAATAAATTTTTACAAAGATTGGTTGACTTATAGGTAGAGCTAGTACATACAATGCCTAAAGCCACTATTACGCAAAGCGTTTCGGGCATGAGAAACTTAAATGACAAGCTTAATACTAATTGAGCATAATGAGTAGAATGAAAACAAGAAATGAAAACATAGATGAAAAAGCAGCACAAATACAATTATGTCGACAAACAGCGCTCTTTAAAAAAAAACAGACATTGGTTGACAATATTTAGAATGTGTCCCTGGAAATTCAGCTTGTGGCCAATGAGAACGCCAAGGAATTTGCCATCTAATTTGTTACAAATTTGGGTATTATTAATCCTGAGATTTATTTGATTTGAGGATTTATTGACAAACAAAATATAGAAAGTTTTGTCAATATTGAGGGTGAGTTTGTTGGCAGTTAGCCAGTGATGGACTTTATTTAGCTCAGTATTCACTGTGACATTTAAAGCAAGGGGTCAGGACTGGAGTAAATGAAGGTCGTGTCGTCAGCAAATAGAATTGGTTTGAGGTGTTGGGAGGCATTTGGAAGGTCATTAATGTAGATGAGAAAGAGGAGAGGGCCAAGTATGCTACCCTGGGGAACACCAATGTTGATGGGTAGGGTGGGAGAAATTGAATTATTCACAGAAACATATTGGAGCCCCTCAGTAAGATAAGACTTAATGTACTGCAGGGAGTGACCTCTGACTCCATAATGTTGTAATTAAGAAGAAGGTTTTGGTGGTTAACAGTGTCAAAAGCCTTACGCAGGTCTACAAATAACCCAACAGGGAACTCATTTTTATCAAGAGCTGTATATATGAAGTTAATCATACTAATGAGTGCATCGTTAGTGCTTTTTTGGGGTCTGAAGCCATATTGACAAGAGCTAAGTATATTGAGTTTGGCTAGATAAGAGTAAAGCTGCTTATAGATTAGTTTTTCAAATATTTTTGACAAGTTTGGCAGAATTGATATAGGTCTGAAGTTGTTAACATCAGTGAGATCACCACATTTGTGGACAGGGGTTACTCTCGCTTTTTTTTTGTTAGAATATTTAGAAAGGTTTGGAGTTAAAGTGACTTGTTGAAGAGCAATGCAATAGCAGGAGCTAAAAATCCGGAGGCTTTTTTGTAAATAAGAGTTGGTATCTCCACAAGGGCACTAGACTTGGTTTTAAGGGAAAGGATTATGTCAGTAACATCAGTGGAATTAGTAGGCATTAGGTACAGAGACTGTGGATAGTTACCTGTAAGATAGTCCTGAATATTTGTATTGGAAGATGGAATATCATTTGCAAGGGATGACCCAGTGTAAGAGAAGAACCTTTTGAACTCAAGAGCAGTGTCAGAGGCTGAAAGCAGACCATCATTATTTGACAGGAGTATTGGTTTGTTATTTAAACTCTTCTTTGATCCCAATATTTGAGAAATTGTGCTCCATGTTTTCTTAATATTGCTCTTTGTGTGGGTAAATTTATCTTCGTAGTATTTAGTTGTGGCTCTTCTAATTATTTTAGATAACAATGATGAGTAATTCTTTGAGAATTCTTTGGAGACGATTCCTAACCTTTGCTTCTTCTCAAGGTCATGTTTTTTATTAATGGATTTAATATCCCCTTTATAAGCCAAGGATTATTAAGCCTTTTAGTTGTGACTTGTTTCGTTAGCATAGGACAGTGGGTGTTATAAAGGCTGGGAGTTTTTTGAAGAAATGATTGCACTTCTAGGTTGAAGTTCCCTATGGTACCTAATTCAGATTCCCAGTTGATATTAGCTGCAGCAGCTATAAAATTGCCTATAGCAGTTTCATTGTGCAGCCTAAAGCTTATCTCCCTTTTCTCTAGAGGTGGTTTGTTAATGTTGGTTAGGAGAAATGTGGGGTAATGGTCTGTAATGCTATCGATGATTATCCCTGAAGTAAGCGGAGAGGTTATGTTGGTCCAGATGTGATCAAGAGCCGTGGCAGTACTGTCAGTGTTTCTAGTAGGTCTAGTGATTACGGGTATGAGGAAGCAGGAATTCATACATTTGAGGAAACTTGCAGCAGGAGAGTTATCAGGCTCGCAGAGGTCAACGTTAAAGTCACCAGAAATAATTAAGTGGTTTTTGTTCAGTCGGTTCTCTAGTATGAGATTTCTAAGGTTAGAGTTAAATTCAGTCACATCAGTGTTAGGAACCCTGTAGACTGCTCCCACAGTCAAGACAGCATCGTTACCCTTGACTCTGAAACAGGCAAATATATATTCTCCATAAGGGTCTCTAGATTTGATTACTTTTAAGCAAGTCAGTGCATGGTGGTAGTAAAGAGAAGTACCACAACCTCTTTGTATAGGACGACAGTTGTGAATAGTTGAGTAGTTTGGTATGTTGTAGAGTTGAGAAGTGTCCTCTTTTAACCATGTATGTCATATATGTATAAATATATGTCATATCTTTGATAGAGGAAAATAGGTCGAGAGTTAGTACCTTAGAGTTGAATATTGTCTAAGCTTAGACAGTCGGCGGAAGAGCTAACAGCTCGATCATTTAGGCACAAATAACCAACACGTAAATTAACAAACCAACTGCCGACCACGATAAAAAAAATGTACTTCATTAACAAATACGTATAAGTATTCTTATGAAGTATGAGGTTATAAATATTAAATAAATTGTAGCAAGTATATTATAATAGAGTATTAATAGTATGTGAAACGCTTTGCGTAATAGTAGCTTTAGGCATTTTTTTTTTTTTTTTTTTTTTTTTTTGAGATATATACAAGAGTTGTTACATTCTTGTAGAGCCACTAGTACGCGTAGCGTTTCGGGCAAGTCCTTAATCCTACGGTCCCTGGAATACGATCCCCTGCCGCGAAGAATCGTTTTTTCATCCAAGTACACATTTTACTGTTGCAAAATGGGTATGGGGTGCATAATAAATGAACTAAACTAACGTTAAACAGAGGCTACAAAGGAATTGCGCCCAGTAAATCCTCCCCGGCCAGGATACGAACCCATGACATAGCGCTCGCGGAACGCCAGGCGAGTGTCTTACCACTACACCACGGAGACTGTATGTACATTGTATGTACTAGCATTGTATGAAGGCATTGTATGTACTAGCTCTATCTATAAAGCCATCAACTTTTGTATCTTACCTTGTATGTATGTACTTTACCTAATATACTTACTAATCTCTCTCATCTCATTTTTTTCTTGCAATGTATTTGTTATCATTTTATTAATTCTGCTAGAATTTACCTACTTAAAATTATCTGTTAATTTTATTAAGGTTAAGGACCTGCCCGAAACGCTGCGCGTACTAGTGGCTTTACAAGATTGTAAATACTATGCTATGTATTCTCACAAACCCAATGTACCTTCTTGTAAATAAATAAATAAATAAATAAATAAATAAATACAAATGAAGGTAGAGGTGAAGGGGTGAGTGTGGGAAGCCCGGCCGTGTTGTTGTGACATTCCTGTCCAGCTGAGAGGCGGCCGCACGTGCACTCTAGACGGGGCTGTGAGGCCACATGCTGCCCCCTCCTGCATGCTGGCACCTCCATCACCACCACCTCCACACCTCACACTCCACACCCCTGCAAGCATGACCGATGACGCACTCGAGAACAATGTCTTCTACAGACACGTTAAGGTGAGTGTTTACTCTGTGTGTTGGGGGGGGGGGGGTACTCGGGTGAGTGTGTAGGGAGTCACACAGGTGAGTGTATTGACGGGGCATACTGTTTATCTGACGGTCACCCTCTCTAGTGGCCTCGACGAGGACAGGAAGCCGACGGCAGGTCAAAACTTCCCTAATTTGTCTTGATTTTTATCCAGCCAGATTTTGGTGTGCAGTAATGGTTGGCATTTACGGGTTGGGCGGGTAGGCGGTTCCATGGGTGTATAGCTCTATGGGTGAAAAAGCATCTCCTGTTTTCAGTCCTACATTGTGTCTTGTTGAGCTTCAACCCGTTGCTCCTGGTTCGTGTTACATCTAACTTTATCTGTTTAACCAAGTGGTCTGGATCAATAGAGCACTAATAATAATTCATTGTCTTGGGGGGGACAAGCAGCCAGTGTATATATACATGTTAGGTTTATATTTAGGTTCTCCCCCACCCCCATGCCAGGGCTGAACAATTGATCCTCCCCAGGATGCAACCCCACAATAAACTGACTAACTTCTGGGTACCTATTTACTGCTAGGTGGACAGGAGCACTAGGTGATAGGAAACTTGCCCAACCATTTCTGTCTTGGCCGGGACTCGAGCCTGGAATTCCCAATTGTGAGTCTAGAATAAAGCCAACTGTACCAGCAGGACCCAAGTTGTTCAGTTTTTCAATGAGATCAGTCCTGTCGTGTCTGGTTTGTAGTGTTGTTAGCCCTGTGGACCTCAGCCGTTCCTGATCCTGATTTAACAGTCTCCGTGGTGTAGTGGCAAGACACTCGCCTGGTGTTCCGCGAGCGGTTTGTCATGGGTTCGTATCCTGGCCGGGGAGGATTTACTGGGTGCAAATCCTTAACTGTAGCCTTTGTTTAACGCAACAGTAAAATGTGTACTTGGTTGTAACGATGATTCTTCGCGGCAGGGGATCGTATTCCAGGGACCTGCCCGAAACGCTATGCGTACTAGTGGCTGTACAAGAATGTAACAACTCTTGTACAGTATATATCTCAAAAAAAAAAAAAAAGATACGAGTCAACTTGGTTCTGGAATGATTTTTGTTGCCTGGTGTTGAACTTTCTCAAAAGCAGCTGTGTCTTTCTGAAGATGTGATCTCCATACTTGGCTACAATAGTTCAAGCAGGGGCTCTCCAGAGATATTTAAAGTTAAATAACTACCTTCTTTTTCTTGAATTCAAAGGTTCATTTAACTTCTTAGGGTTTTTTATTTTTCTCTCATTTCAGCTCCCACTTGTGCAATTTTCAGTGATTAGTGGATTCAGACTCCAAAGTCCTTATCTTCATCAATCTGCTGCAAGGTAATTCTTCTTGCCCGAAACGCTATGCGTGTTAGTGGCTTTAGGTATTGTATGTACTAGCTTTATCTATAAATCCAACATTGTTTGTAACTCATCTATGTATGTTCTTTTACCTGAATAAACATTTGAATTTTGTAGTTGATTTGGTAGTTGATACATGTTATGCTCCACATGCAAGGTCGTGCAATTTTTTATATTAAAAAGTATTTTCAGTCTTCTGACCACGTCTGGCAGTCCCCATGGTACAGTGGTAACACATTCGCCCCACGCACTTTGTGAGCGATTTGTCCTGGATTCTTATTTTGGCCGGGGAGAAGGCATCTCTGTTTACAGGAGTTGTAGCTGATGTGTGGAAAAAGGCTAACATAGTTCCAATCTACAAAAGTGGAAACAGGGAAAAACCCCCTTAATTATAGACCTGTATCATTGACAAGTGTAATAGTCAAAATATTGGAAAAAATAATTAAACCTAAATGGGTAGAACACCTGCAAAGAAATATAATATCAGACAGACAGTATGGTTTTTGATCTGGAAGATCCTGTGTATCGAATTTACTCAGTTTCTATGATCGAGCCACAGAGATTTTACAGGAAAAAGTTGGTTGGGTTGACTGCATCTATCTGGACCTAAAAAAGGCTTTTGACAGAGTTCCACATAAGAGGTTGTTCTGGAAACTGGAACATATTGGAGGGGTGACAGGTAAGCTGAAATAGATGGAAAATGGGATGGAACATGGATGAAAAATTTCCCAACTGATAGAAAAATGAGGCCCGTAATCAGAGGCAATATATCGGACTGGAGAAATGTCACAAGTGGAGTTCCACAGGGTTCAGTTCTTGCACCGGTAATGTTCATTGTCTACATAAATGATCTACCAGATGGAATACAGAATTATATGAACATGTTTGCTGATGATGCTAAGATAATTGGAAGGATAAGAAACTTAGATGATTGTGATGCCATTCAAGAAGACCTGGACAAAATACGTGTATATGGAGCACCATTGGCAAATGGAATTTAATGTTAATAAATGCCATGTTATAGAATGTGGAATAGGAGAACATAGACCCCACACAACCTATAAATTATGTGAGAAATCTTTAAAGAATTCTGACAAAGAAAGGGATCTAGGGGTGGTTCTAGATAGAAAACTGTCACCCGAGAACCACATTAAGAATATTGTGCGAGGAGCCCATGCTACACTTTCTAACTTCAGAATTGCTTTTAAATACATGAATGGTGAAATACTAAAAAAATTGTTCACGACTTTTGTTAGTCCAAAGCTAGAATATGCAGTGGTTTTGTGGTACCCATGTCTTACCCCTTAAACTGCGCATGGCGTATATATGCGCTCTGAGTAACATGCCCCACCGTGCGCATGGCGTATATATACACCCAAGGGTGCCAGGCCCGATTCAAATGGCCCGCGGCTACACGGGGTTCACATTAGCTTCCTCAGGGCTCTTGTAAACAGACGCCATTTTTTTTTAAATCGTGGGCAATATTCTCAGGTGTGAGAGGCACAGTACTGTTGAAGCAACCAAAGCTGGCGCACGCAGCATGAGCGAACACCGTTGCTGTTCAGCTTGTGACCACAGCATCGCCGAAAAATGTCAAAATAAATATATAATTGTTATTATTTAGCGATGACAATATTACAGATGACCCCTGACTGTGATATAAATAACCAGGGTTGTGATAATAGCAGGATTGTTGTAATAATTAGTGCTGTGGGAGGAGTGATGCTGAGAGACGGAGGGAGATAGCATCTTTACTGACTGTGTGGTCACCTGTTATTGTTTGCTTTCACCGTACCAGCTCAGTGGTTCTCTATGGTGAACACAAATGTAGTTACTTATATATAATGTGTGTATTAGTGTAATAACAGCAAAAGGATTATGCTGGGAGGAGCCATTTGGGTGACAGAGGTGACGTCGTCTGCATGATTTGTCTAGCTGTTTAGAGGGTGGCCACTATGCTCTTGGGGCGCACTACAAGCTTAGGTGTACAGTTATGGTGCATACAACATGTATATACTTATATATAATATGTTTATATGTGTAATAACACCCCAAACTGTATTGTTGGGGGAGAAATTTTAGTGCACCTGACCTTGAATGAGTGAGGGAGGCAGCCGCCAGCTGACTGTGTGTATAGCGACGACTCTTAGTGCCTGAACTAACTATATCAGCTTAGCTGTACAGTTGTGGTGAACAAAACATATACATACTTGTATATAACGTCTGTATATAGTGTAATAACACCACAAATGGTATTGTTGGGGGAGAAAGTTTAGTGCGTGTGTTGAGGGAGTGGCAGTGAGTACCAACTTAGTGGTTCGTTATGGTGAACAAAACATGCAGTTATATATAACCTGTGTATAGAGTGTAATAGCAGCAAAACTATTTGTTTATTGTTTTATGAACATAATAATTGAATCACTAATATGCACACAATACTTTTGAGTACTGTATAGCAATTATTCACCTCTTTTATTATATAAATATATTACAATACACACTATTGAATAATATTACTGTAAAAAAATAAGAAAAAATCAATCAGACATAGAAATAATTAAGTGATAATATTTTTGTGGCAACTCCCACTTGTCAGCGCGGGTGACGCTGACCGGCTCTGACGCCCGCTCTGTCAACGCCCACTTTTTGCCAGACTTCCGCGGTCAATTGCGCCCAAAATATGTCACCTACGTTTTTTTTTTTTTTTTTTTTTTTCTCTCCCCCCGTGCTCAGGGGACACAAATTAACCTGTTTAGAAGACGGAAAAAATTTTTGAATATTTTTTTTCTTGCGCACAGGGGTGTAAATGTCCTCAGGACCCCTGAGCAGTGGAAGGGTTAAGAAGCACATAAACAAACTGGAAAAGGTGCAAAGACATGCCACCAAGTGACTCCCAGAACTGAAGGACAAGAGTTACGAGGAGAGGTTAGAGGCATTATACTGTATATGCAAAAACTAGAAGATAGAAGAAAAAGAGGTGATATGATCACTACGTTCAAAATAGTAGCAGGAATTGATAAAATCGATAGGGAAGATTTCCTGAGACCTGGAACTTCAAGAACAAGAGGTCATAGATATAAACAAAGATGCAGAAGAAATATAAGAAATTCACTTAGGCAAACAAAGTGGTAGATGGTTGGAACAAGTTTTAAGTGAGAAGGTGGCGGAGGCCAAAACAGTCAGTAGTTTCAAAGCGTTATATGGCAAGGGTGCTGGGTAGACGGGACACCATGAGCGTAGCTCTCATCCTCTAACTACACTTAGGTAATTACTTGTCAGTTTGATAGCTCCAGGCAGTCTTTGGGGCTCGCCCAGAAAATGCCATTTCATTACATTCGATGCTGATTTTTGGGGGGTTTTAACATTATCCATTTGGATGCATAGTTATAAGTTCTTTGCCTAAGCAACTTATTTTTTATTATCTTTTAGCATAGATATCAAATTCATTACAATAATTATTTTTTCCTTTGAATGAATTGATTTCAAACTGATACATAACAAAAACTGCAAATTACTGTCATACTTCAATTTTTGCCAGGAGCACCATGGTGAGGAGATGGCAAGATGGTGTGAGCCCAACTGGGTAGTGTGTGTCCCTCAGCAGTCTGCCATAGAGAATGTGCCCCTCTCTACGCCTATCATAGGTGAGGAGGAAGATGGTTTGTGTGTACACACCATGTGGAAATAGGAACTTTGTGTATTAGCATTTTATTTGCAAGGTGGCCTATGTGCATATGTCAGATTTAGGAGAGCTCTTGTGTCTTCCGGCCTCTGGTGGCTTCAGGCATCTTCTTCCCCTTCGGGGGGTTCGAGGCTGGCGGGGTGGGCTTCTTTCCCTGCTCTTCGTCATGTCATCTTGGTGTGGGTGCGTTTGAACATGATCGTTCCACTTCATCCTTTCGGAGTTCCCACCTGTTCTAGTGCAGACACGGGCCTTGCGGATCTGCGGTTCTTCTGGACTTGATCAGTCTGCGCCGTGGATTCTTTGCCCTCTTCAGAAGACTGTTGTCTCCGGTCCGGCTTCTGTTGGAATCTGGTGCCTGGAGTGTCCCTGGACTTCCGGGTCACTTCTTGGCATGTTCCCCTCCAGGGTTCCAGGACTGGTACAGTTGGTGGTGGGGCTTCAGGCTTGCCGCTTTTGTTGCCTTCCCTAGTTTGTAATTGGCACTTACTGTATTTATGCATCTTTACCAGATCTTGGTGACCTGTCTGCATCTGCTCTGGATTTGGTTTTTGGCCTACCTCGACGACTGGCTGGTGTGGGCTCCCAGTCGGTCCACTTGTCTGCTTGTCAGGGGGTGTGGTTGTTTCCAGATCGCCGGGTTCGGTTTCCTGGTGATCTGGAGGCCGTTCCATCTGGTTCCATCCCGGGTTCGGACCTGGCTGGGTCTTGTTTAGGACTCTTGGACCGCTTCTTTGTCTTTCCCTCCAGAAGTGTTGCTGTGGCTGTGGTCCCGCCTTCGGCTGTTTATGAGGGGGGTCCCGGGGTCGCTCAGCGGTTGCTCGAGCGGTTGTGCAGGAGTCTGAACTTCGCCGTGCTGGTCTGCCTGCCGGGTCGGGTTTGGCTTCGGCATCCGTTTGGTTCCTTCGGGGACTCCCCTTCCACGCTCTCGTAATCGTTGGGTTTGTCCTCCGGGGATCTTGTGTTGGTGCTGCGTCACCGGCTTTCTCTTTAGGGTTTTCGGGGTTCCGTGCCTTGGCGCCTCCCCAAGCCTTCGCTTTATGTGTTCACGGACGGGTCATCTCTCGGCTGGGGCTTTGTGACCAGTGCTCACCAGGCCGGCCGGGAATGGTGAGGTCCGTCCGTCAGTCGGCTCACAGCACGGTTTGGGAGTTCGTGGCTGGTTTGCGCTTCGGAGGGTTCGGGTCACTCGGGGCTCTACCATCCGGCTCCGTTCGGACTGTTCTACGGTGATTCATTGCCGGAATGACGGGGATTTTCTTAGGCCCTTGACCTTTGGGGTTAGTCCCTTTGAGTGGCTCGTCTGCTGGATTCTCGGGGTTTGACTCTCCGTGTGTTTCATGTCCGGGGTGTGTCCTACGTCCTGGCGGACGGCCTGTCTCGGTTCATGCCTCTGTTCACAGATTGGCAGGTCGTCGCTGACTCGTTTTGTTGGCTCTGCCGGACGTACGGACTCCTGGACAAGGACATCTTCACGTCGGCATGGTCTCGGCGTCTCCCATTCTATGTGGCACCCTTACCCGCCTGTGAGGCGTTTGCGGTGGATGCTTTTCAGCAGGATTGGTCGAAATGGAGTTACCTGTTACTCTTCTCCTGATCCAGCTGTTGCTTCGGGTTCTAGCACAGTTGGAGTCCTTCCCAAGGAGAGTAGTCCTCGTGGTCCCTTGGTGGCTGGCCCAGTTTTGTTTTCAGACACTGCTTGATAGGTGTCCGAACCCGGGGCTTTTCCCGCGGCTCCATCTCTTTCGGCAGGTCGGACCGGTCCTGTACGTGACTGGTTTGGCCTTCACCTCGCCTCTTCGCATCTGCTCTGCTGATGCGGGTGTATCACCATCTCACTGGTGATCAGGTAGCTTCGTTGATGGTGTCCCACCTGTGAGCTTCGTCTCGGCAACAGTATGACGTTCCTGGCATTTCTATTCGCCATTTTCTTGCTCTTCGTAGGTTGTCTTCTCTTTCGCATCGGGTTGTCTTGTCCTTTCTTGGGTTTTTCAGGACTGTTAATTGATGCTTCTTACTGTCGCCTCGTATCGTGCAGAGCTGGTGAAGCCGCTCCAGTTTGCGTTCGGGGTGGACGTCACATCCATCCTGTTCCGTATGCTTTTTCATGTTGTTTCACCTCCGGTCTGCTCATGCGCCGCCTGAGCCGTCCTGGTCCTTGATCAGGGTGCCTTCTTATCTTTCCTCTCCTCAGTTTGTGGTAGCCCCTTCAGTTCAAGATTGTTTTTCAAAGGCCATACTGTATTTTGTTGGCATTGACCTCTACGGGTCGGGTCGGGGAGCTTCCGGCTCTCCTCCGGCTCATGGGTTTCTACTCTTTTGGTACTGGTGGTAGGTTTGTACATTTGCAGCCTTTCTCCATCCTTCTGGCAATGGTCGAGACGGCTGCTTTCCGGGAGGGTCCTTGGGTTATTGATACTTGGTTGGTTCGGCCGGGGGCGTGTTATGTGTTGTCCGGTTGCGGCTCTTCGCCGTTACCTGTGTGCCTTGGCTGGGGATGCGCTTTGGGTTGATCCGGTTCCCTTCGTTTCCTGTTTCAGGGCTTGGGATCTCCCAGGTCGTCCGCAGGTTTCTTAAGTCTACCAGCCTGCTGTCTATCCTTGCGCGCATGCCGCTCAGACATTTGCAGCTTTCACTGCCATGTTTGGTGACATCTTGGGCTCATTTCGGACGTGAGGATTTGGGGGTCACACAGGTTCCTGGCTGCCCGTTCTTTTGTCAGCGTGTCTGCTCCTGTGTGTTCTTGTGTTGCTTTGGGTTGCAGGTTGCTGCCTGTTCTCTCGACTTCGCATTGTGGAGTTTGTGGCGGCCGCCTCCCGGGTCAGCCCTTACTTTTCCTTCTCTTTGGGTATGAAGCTCCAGGGAGCCGTAGGGACTCCCCACAGAAAACTGGCGTTGAATGTAATGAAACGCCATTTTCTGGGTGAGCCCCAGAGGCTCCTTGGCAACCCTACCTCCCACCAGTCGGCATTTTTTTTGCATTGGTTGAAGCTTAGCTTCCGAACTGATGCTAGGCAGCCGGCGCTATGAGGTCCAGGGGACCCCCTCTCGGGGTGGGGAGGGCTGCACGAACAAGCAGCGCGGCAGTAGAATGTGATGTTTGCTTGTTTCGTTGGGATCGGAGGGAGTTCTACCTGTTTTCAGTTTTTAGTTATTAGTTTCTTGCCATGTGGAGGTTTGTTTTGTTATGCATACATTTCTGGGTGCCTAACCCCAGTCAATAACAGACAAGGAAAAACCCCCAACCACAAGGGGGTTTTCCAGGGCCATTGCACCCTGCAACCCGCTCTGAAGGGGCCAGGTTCTGGCTCGTGGTCCCAGGTAGGTCGAACTCCATAGCTAATGCCCCGGTCTATTATAGCACACATTAGCCCGATAGGTCCAGGGAGCCTCCGGGGCTCACCCAGAAAATGGCGTTTCATTACATTCAATGCTGGTTTTTTAGCAAACGTACTTAAGGGGCCCAGTGCTTGTGTACCGAAACTTCCTCAAACACATTCAATTTTTTTGTGAATAATATATTCATGGTAAATGCTCCAACTTTTCATAATGGATCAACATCATACTATGAACAGAAAGTTAAAAATATAATGAAAAAAAGAAAAAAATTCACAATTTCAAATTAGGTGTCAAAATATTAAGTCACCAATTGTTATTTTATTCATTATGGTCTCAGAATTGCATATAACATTCATGTTCCTTATAGAAAAATATTGTTTAAGAGTATAGTTTACTGTAAAACATTTTTTTGAATGTCTTCGTCCAAATATGTGCAAAATATAGATGCAAAAAATGTATACAGTAACTCTTAACGTTATGGCTGTATGACTAAACGACAATAAGGACACCTTAGAACTAAGAACATTGCACATGTAAAAATGGTGAGAATCGGTCAGAAACTGAATTGTTGATACTGTCTTTTTTTATGGTAGTTCTAATTAATGAATTTTCTTGATTATTTAAACATTTCTTGGCATTCATACTCAAATATGTGAAAGTTGTAGGTCAATATATGTTGAAATGATGTAAAGAAAAAATACCCCCTCCCCCCAAAAAACGAACTATTAGGATAGGTTAAGGATAACAAATGCATATATTGCAGTAACTTTATTGCCCATACATAAGTGATAAGGCTCTCATCTGGTCCTCATTCATCAATACAACCTAAAGAGACAACGAGAATAGATTTTGAAATCCGTAAATAAATCGGCCAAAAAAAAAACTAAGTCCCAAGTTCTGCCACCTGTGGCTCATTAACATGTTAAACAAATTTGTTCCAACTTCACGTGCATAGTGCCGGATAAGCATTCTTCATGATGTAGAAGCTACAGCAAAATCTGCGTAGAAACAAAGAAGAGAAAAAACACACAAAAAAAGTGGTCAGCTTTTTGCTCAAAGGGACACAAGAAATATTGCCATTTGGGCAATGTATTTATATGATATATAGTAAAATAGAGCATAATAACATACTAACTCAATCTGTGTGAAATCTGGCCTTTAAAAATTTTTATTTTTAAAAATAAAAAAATCATTTAACATATTGGGATGAAAATTTCACAACGCTAATGCCAAATAGGTCTGGGGGGAGGGGGGGATGTCTAACGTCCTGGTGGACGGCCTGTCTCATTTCCTTCCCCTTTCCATGGAGATCAACATTCGGGATGGGCGGTCGACACCGACTCTCTTTGTTGGCTGTGCCAGACGTGGATCTCTTCGCGTCGGCGTGGTCGAGGCGTCTCCTGGTATACGTGGCGCCCTTCCCCGACTGCGAGGCTGTTGGGGTCGACGCCTTCAGGCAGGACTGGGCGAGGTGGGGTTACCTGTACCTCTTTCCCCCCGGTTCAGCTATTGCTGCAGGTCCTGTCTCGCTTGGAGACTTACCAGGGAAGAGTTGTCTTTCTGGCTCCTTGGTGGCCGACCCAGCCTTGGTTTCAGACGCAGCTTGCTCGGTGTCCGAACCCGAGGGTCTTCACGCGGCTCCGCCTTTTTCAGCGGATTGGTCCAGCCCAGTACGAGGCTGGTTCGATCTTCTCGAGTCTTTGTGTCTGGAGTTTTTTACTCTGGTTCATCGTCACTTGTATGGTGCGCAGGCGGCTTCGTTGTTGGTCTCTAACCTGCGTGCTTCGTCTCGGCAACAGTATGAAGTTTCCTGACAGTCCTTCCGGTTCTTCCTATCAATGCGTAGGTACTGTATTCTTCAGTCTCTGATAGGGTTGTTCTGTCCTTTCTCTCTTGGTTGTTCCAGGACTGTCATCTTGTGCCCAATACTGATGCCTCATATCGTGCGGCGCTGGCGGAGCTGCTTCAGCTTGCTTTTGGTGTCGATGTTACTTCTGCCCCGTTCTGCAAGCTGTCTCAGGTGTTCTTTCACCTACGGCCTGCTCATGCGCCTCCTGAACTGTCCTGGTCTCTGGACCGGGTGCTCTCGTTTCTCTCTTCTCCTTGGTTTGTTGTGGCCCCCTTCATTCGGGATTGTTTTTATAAAGCTTTTTTCCTGTTGTCATTGGCCTTGGGGTCGGATCGGGGAGCTTCATGCTCTCCTCCGGTGCAGGGGTTTCTGCTCCTTCAGTCCTGGTGGTCGTTTTGTTTGGTGGCAGCCGCCTCCTTCTTTTCTGGTGAAGAATGAAACGACTGCGTTTCGGAGGAGGCCTTGGGTTGTTGATGCTTGGTTGGTCAGGCTGGGGGTGTATCATGTGTTGTGTCCAGTTGCGGCTCTCCACCGTTATTTGCACGCCACGGCTTCGGTGGCCGGGGATGTGCTTTGGGTTGACCCGGTTTCCCTTCTTTCCTGTTCCTGGGCTCGGGGTCTCTCAAGTTGTCCGCAGGGTTATTAAGTCTAGTCAGCCTGCGGTTTATCCTCGTGTGTAAGTTTGCTACTTTGGCTGCCGTCTTTGGCAACATGTCTTGGGTTGACATTCGGGCGCGGGGTTTTTGGAGGTCAAACAGGGTCCTGACTGCTCGCTACCGGGTGAATATTCCGGGGCCAGGTAGGGCCTGCATTGCTTTGGGTCGGCGGTTGCAGCCAGTTGTCTCAACTTCGTGTTGAGGAGTGAGGACGAACCGCCTCCCGGGTAAGTCCCTGTTTTTCCTTATCTTTGGGTAGTTAGCTCCAGGGAGCTGACGGGGCTCCCTCAGAAAACCAGCATTGAATGTAATGAAAAGCCATTTTCTGGGCGAGTCCTGGAGGCTCCCCGGCATCCCACCCTCCCTCCCGTCCGCGGTGTTTTTCACGATTTTTAGACATCCGGCCTAAGAACTGTAGGTTGGGTCGCCCGCAAATGGGTCTGGAGCTGCTCCTTCCCCCTCCCAGGGGGGGGGGGGTTGCGCAGACAGCTGCACGGTGACGTGATGACGTCATGCTAGTTTGTTAATTTTCATTTGGGGAGTTCTGTCCACCTGTTCAGCTTTTGGTCACAATACTTTTACCAAAAAAGGGGTTTGTTTTGGGGCGCCTACCTTTCTAGGTGCCTATCCTGGTTGATGGCAGACATAGAATGCTCCCAACCACAGGGAGGGTCTCTATAGGCCATTGCTCCTCGTGCCTCTCTAGAGGGGGCCAGGTTCTGGCTCGTGGTCCCCGGTAGGCAATAACTCCATGCATTGACTGATGCCAGAAAGATATCCATATCCATTTAGCCTGGATAGCTCCGGGGAGCCTCCGGGACTCGCCCAGAAAATGGCGTTTCATTACATTCAACGCTGGTTATTTTAAAGAGTATGCATGAAAGAAGCAATAACACACTTGTATTCCTTGGTTTTCTGATCAATTTCATTTTGGTTTACAATTGATAAATCAATTGTCAGATATGATCATTTTTGTTTACATAGTTACACATAACTTAAGCACTAGTATGAGGACATTAGGTGTGAATATTCTGGATATTATTTGTATACTGTGTTTTAAAATCATTCTTATAAATGTTAATGTTCTTCAGTAATGTATGTATTTATATATATTTGTTAATTTTATTTGAGTACATCTTTCAAGGAATAAGGCTAAAATTGTTTGTCCATTGTTGAGGACAGGATGCCTGATAGTCTTTTTGAGGTCCCCCCTAGTACTAACAACTGACCTTACTCCAGGATGCAACCCACAACAGTTACCCTAACTCCTGAGTGACTATTTACTAAGAATTGAACACAGGCATCAGGTGAAAAGAAACTTGGCCAAACATGTCCTCCTTGCCATTTGAACCAAACCCCAGAACGTTGCAGTAGTGAGCCGGCTGTGCAGACCACCGCATTACGTGCAGTGCCTCTATATCTGGATGTTATTTATAGCTCCAAATTTCATGCTGTGATTGATTCATAGCAATATTTTTTTTTCAGAAGCACATGCTTTGAAGCAGTATAGCTCATCTGGGTGAGTACATGTTTTTATTTTTTTTATTTTTGTTGAAAGTCATTAACACAAAATAATTAATTGACGTCCTGTGTAGATTTTACTACTACTGTATTTGAGGATGTTAGATTTACTTAAAGTTGACTCCTAATTCCTTGTACATTATTTGTTACATAGATGAGAGCATTTATGGCTTTGTACCTTTAAAAATAGAATCTCTGTGCATGTATCTTTAATTATAAAGATGTTGAATTAAAATAAAGGGTAAAATTATTAGCTTTCATTACAAAATAGAATTCTTAGTAAAGCTACTGATTTGGTTATATGAAGCTTTCATCCTCTCACAAACTTTGGATTGTTGGGAATGTGATCAGTAAATAATTAGAACACTATAATGTACTCAGATGCAAGTATAGTTATATATTTAAAATATTTGACAAAAGTTTCAAAAAATAAATAAATAAATAGCGCTGAAGAAGAAGACTAAACTGGTGAGAATTTCCAGCATAACCAAATGAAATATAAGAACAATCACAAGTCCACGATCACAGTTTGGGAAATATAATTATAAGTGGGACAGCTGTTCTCATGAGCTCTGTACGTTTTCAAAATAATCCTGTTAGAGATTACTATGATAAAATATGTACAGTCAGTATTAAGGTGTTGACCATTAATACTGGTGATGGCCGGACCATGAAGGTGTTAACGGGTTAATACTGTTATCACCTTCATGGCCAATTCCCACTCAACCATGGCTAAAATGTTTATTTTACACTTTTAAGTTTTCCAACATATTTTTTCTGAGTTATCATCACGAATTTTGTGTCAAAATACTTAGAAATGACACTGTATTCCTAGAGTAACAGTTGAATGATAAATGGCATAAGCTTTATAAATGATGAATGACATAAGTATTATAAGTTGTATGGTCACTGAATACAGCATAAAATTTATAAACAATTAACCAATTCTTATTTATTATCATGAGTAAATTAAAAAATATGAATATGTTCATAAATAATTGATCTATCTAGCTGTAAAATAAATATTACTATGCAGTACTTGCCTGCATTTTGGTCAGGTAATTTGCACAATGACGAAAAATTCTGAGATTCAAGTGATCATCGTCTTGAGTGATGGGTAGTTAGCCACAGTGATCTGTGGTTGGTCCCTTGATACACTGGTTGGTCCCCCTGATAAGCTTGGCACAAACTGTTCATATCTTTTGAGGTTTATCATGAAGAATCCAATATTATAGAATAATTAAGGAAATGATTTTTGGAAATTCTGCAATTGGACGACTCATTTAAGTGTCATCGGATTTATTGTGGCTACCCTGTATTTACCGATGATAAATTTTAGCATCTCGTACCACTAAAGTTTTAGGATTGATATAGATGCTATAAAAACATATATGCCGTAAAATAGTGTTCCTAAAAAGTTAATGCTCACAAATTTTCTTTCATTGGTTGCCAGTCAATATGTAAGTGCTCTGTACGGAGAGGGCTTAATATATGAGATAACGGGCGAGGAGCCAAGAGTCGTTATTGCCAACGAAGAGGAGCTAACAGAGGTTGTGATTTCCAAGGCAACTGTTCTTAATGAGTACCTGGTCACTTTTAAGGTGAGTTCAATATTCTGCTACATTTTTAAACTAAAAGAATCATTCATATAGGATTTAGCAATTTTGTTTTTTATCATAAAGGCTGAATGTACTTTGTGATAGTAAGAAAACCTTTAAAAGGTGAAATTCACTCAGAAAGATTATGAAGCTTTCTGAGCAATCACATTCAGTTGTCCCCTAAAGTAAGATCCACTGTGTCTGTTGAGTAGGATTATAAAACAGTTGGGCAGAATGGTATTCTGGCACTGGTAACGTGTATAATTTACAAGCACCCCGGAAGGTCAGGTTAAGTACAAGGGCATCACTGGAAATCATACATTACTGCCCAGGATGGCAAGAGATGCACTCATAAAAATTAAAGCCAGTCCAAATTGCACTCTTTGCATTATAAGTAACTGAGTAACCACCAACAAAGTGTTTTCATTAATGGCTTACCTGAAGGGGTAGCTGAATGTAATAACTGGCAAATAAGGTTTTGAGTAAATATGAAAAGAATCTTACTAATTGAAATCATCTGGTTGCCCCCTGTCCCTCCCTCTTTACATCTATTTTCCTGTGTACAGTTTAGGTGTTAAGTGTCTTGAGTTCTTGTGAGGCATTTTGAAACCATGCATGGCACTTCTTCCTGTTGGTGAATAAATGAGCAAGTTAGCAAGAGTCCTCTGTTGGCAGTTGCTTGTGATGTCAAGAAGAGAGCTTGAATAGGCATTTTAGTTTTATTTATTTATTATTTATATATATACAAGATGGTACAATGGGTTTATGAGAGTTCATAACATTGATGTTTTTATATTCTTGTAAAGCCACTAACACGCATAGGGTTTTGGCAGGTCCTTAATATAACAGATAATTTTAAGTAGGTAATTTGTAGCAAAATTTAAAATTTTTAACAGGTACATTGTAAGAAAATTGGAAGAAAATTAGTAGGTACATTATAGTGAAATTTGAGAATTATGAACATGTACATTGTAGCATAATTTGAGGATTATTTCTAGATACATTCAAAATAATAACCATGATATAAGATGATAGCAGTAATTACAGTGGTGAAGGTGGTGTATGGCTTAGGTACAAATATTGGGGGAGTGGGTAGCACAAGATACAGTGCGTGTTTAACCCTTAAACTCCTCTGGGCTATATGGCCTTCAACACCCATAGGCTCAAACGTTTTTTTGTCTTATAAAACTGTTAATTTGTGTTCCCTGAGCTCAAGAAAAAAAAAATTGAATTGTATAGTGGAACCTCGAGTGACGAGCGGCCCTATCTACGAGCATTTCGAGTAACTAGCGAGTCATTCGCCGAAAATTTCTCTACTGACAAGCTTTGGCTCTATTAACGAGCAAAACCACATGGTGCTCCCTAGCGTTCTCGCCCGTTCTCGCAAATTCTTGGACGCCTCCGATGACAGTATTGTTGTTGTATCGTGCAGGACAAGCATCCCTCTGCATTTATTTGTGCTTTTCTTTGTTTTTTTTTGTTTTGTAACGCATGATGTCGCCAAAGAAGCTGCTTGCTAAAGATAGTGTTGTCAAGAGGAAGAAAGACACAATTACTATGGATTTGAAGAAGGAAATTATAGCAAAGCATGAGCGTGGTGTCTGTTTGATCATGCCAGGGAGTATGGCAGTTCCTCCTCAACAATTTGCACCATTTTGAAGAAGATATTGTTGCTCTGGAGCAAACTTTGGGTCTGGAGTTGGATGCTGCTGATGGGCAGGAGTTAGTGGAGGAGTACAGTGAGGAACTGACCACTGAGGAACTTCTGGAACTTCAGGAGCTGAGTCAAGAGGAGGTACAAGAGCTCTCATCAGGGGAGGAGGAGATAAGGGAGGATGCTGCTGCTTCTTCCAGTGAGATCAGGGAAGTGTTGTGAATGTTTGATAGATACGTTCTTTGCAAAAGTAGAGAAAAGACGAGCAAGTGATAGTGAACCACTATCAACCACGATAGTGAAATTTCTGCCCGAAACGCTGCTCATACTAGGGGTTTTACAAGATTGTAAATACCATGCTATGTATTCTCACAAACCCAATGTACCTTCTAGTATATAAATAAATAAATAAATAAATATATATATATATAAATAAATAACCACAACTCGGTCCCAGTGGGGTGAAATTCCCAAGAAGAGAGCCCGCCTGACTCAGAGGTGGATTCGCCCTCCACACCGTAACCCCTCTCCTCCTCCCCACCTCCTCATTGTCTTCCTCAAGCCAGCAAAGACTCTCCATAAGGTAAAGTACAGTTGAAAACAGTAAAACAAAACATTTATGATTACATGTGCATTATTATATTTACAATATAAAATGGTGATACAGGTATTGATGTTTTTGAGGCGTGGAACAGAATCATTTTATTTCCATTATTTTAAATGGGGAAATTAGTTTCTAAAGACGAGTTTTCCACATAACAAGCTCGTTGCCAGAATGGATTAAACTCGTTACTTGAGGCTCCACTGTACTTACCAATGATGTAAATGAGCCAACAACTTGGGCGATGACGTCGTCACACCCAACATGATCGCTCATAGTGAGCGTCCCGGAGGTGTCGCGCGCAGTCTTCAAGCACCCAGAGATGCCACAAATTTATTTTTGCTGTATTATTTACAGTGTCTAGGTGTATTTTACCACAATTTTTTTTCACTAATACTGTTCCATATAATGGTACAGTACTTGATGTTGAATTATTATACATCTTGCATCCATTCAATATACACTTGCATATTAGTGTCACAATTATGTACACACACGTTTTCTTTTACACCTTATATAATATGTATTCAGTTTTTTCATTAATATATATACACACACTCGCTCAATATGTACCGGTTTTTGCACCCTTATTATTGGACATTTAGAGGTCCTTGTCACAGTGGTAGTCATTGAAGCAGTTGACAGCACACAAAGGGATGGCACATGCTTCATATCATGTTTGTACCAGTTTACGTTTCTGTGGTCTCGTTAGTCTGGTTTTACTAACTACACATGCACACTGGCTTATTGCACGCTTTCCAGCTGGTGGCAAATATTTTAGTCTGTGTACTTGAAAAGCCTCCATGTAAGTGAGCCTGGGTGTAGCAGCATGCTGCAACACTGGGTTCATACAGTAATGGGTCTGTGTATGCCAGGAATGTCTTTGCCAAACTTTGTTATTACTGTGTCACAACTGTAAAATTAAACGTGCAGAAAGTTGGTTTACGACCTGTTTTCATCAGATAGATATCGAAACTGTTCAGCATGGTTATGTCCAACAAGATGGAATTTTTTTTGTCTACCTCGGTGTTTTCCGTACACACTCGACAGCCCCCACCATCATGTCACATTTATCAACCAAACGCATGGTGATGTTATAGTCATAACACAATCTGGTTTATATATTGGTTGTTTCATTATTTTGTTCACCTTGCCACTGTTCACCATTGTTCCAGTGTGAACAGTTATGAATATGTTCACTTCTCTGCTGTCTTTCCATAGCACTGAGAGTATTTGATCAGTTTTTCTTACCTCACAGTCACCTACTGCAATATTATTGCCAAACACTAGCATTTCCCTTTTTTTTGCCTTTACTGTGCCCCACACACACTCCAGTTCTATTTTCAAGCAAGAACCTATTTTGCAGGGGACTTGTATAATAGTTATCTGTATATAAAATGTGGCCCTTGTTCAGCCATGGTGTCATCAGTGTCTTCACCACACTACCTGAGAAACCATGTTGGTCATGTGTAATCAAGAATCATGTGTAACACAAGTCCTATTTCACAGTCACAGAGAACAAAGAATTTTAATCCGAATCTGTTGCGTTTTGAGGGAATATACTGCTTGAAGGCAACATGTTTTTTGAAAAGTACAAGGGATTCATCAATCACCAGCTTCTGAGCTGGTTTGTAGAAATCTCTGAACTTTCCAATCAAGTTCATTCCTAAGGTGGCTCACCCTCCAAAGTCTATCATCCTGTGTCTGGTCTTCATTACTTGCAAAATGAAGACACCTGAGAAGTATCTGAAACATGTCTCGAGGCATATATTTCCTGAACAAAGGTGTTGAAGCAGTGTGGTCTTTGCTCCAATAATCTGAAATAGCGTGTTTTACACAATGTCTATCAACATACATAGTGCAAGAAATACATACATTTCAGCTACAGTAGAGTTTCCAAAGCTGTAATCGTGAAAAATCTGTTAACTCATGTTCAATGAGATGAGCCACATGAATGTTCGTTTGCTGAACAATATGCTCCATGAGCGGCTCATCCAAATATGCAGCAAAAAAGTCCATTTCACACATGTCCTGGCCAGTATCAGGAGAAAAGGTCTGTAATCCCAATATCTTTGTTGTCAAAGGCAGGAATTAGTGGAACAAAATCATCACCATCACTCCACACAAGTACACCTGGTGTCTTGCAAGTCGAAACAGCGGCACCACAGCGAGGAATAGTTGCACACCCTGGGCCAGGAGCTGAAGCCCGTCTACGTAAAGTACGGGTGCAAATTAAAGATGAGGTAAAATCATGTGAACATGAGGGCCTTTGTTCCTCATTGTCTCCATGTGGTGCCATGCGGCAGCGCTTGGCTGGGCGAGACACTGACACGAGAAAACATCGCTTGGTAATACCACTGGTACTAGCGACAGGTGTAGTAATACTATGTTCTGATTCAACTTCACTAAAACCAAAAAGTCACCTTCCTCTGACTCGTTGCCCAAAATAACCTCATACTCTAAATAAGTACAAGAACTGTGTGGTCATGAGCGAATTGGTATAGACTGGGCAACGAGGCATTGCTGAGCATATAGGCCTCGCCATGGGAGCAGGCTGTATTGCAATCTCACTCTTCGTTCTATTATCATCGGACTTCTGTGTATAGTCTTTATCAATGTCAGAGCCATCAATAACACTTTCCTCACCATCAGAAAATAGTTCAGTATTTATCTAATCTTCAGTCAATGATTGCATGGTGTGTGTGCCCGGCAGGCGTTTGGCTGTGCGCCCACCATGGTATCTGCTGGGTATTTGAAGCCTCCCACACGTTGGTGACCTAGCTGGATTTCTTTCAAAATGGCGGCTGTTGCATACATGGGCAGCGTATGGGGGCTCCCTCTACCTCGCAGGTCGTTTAAATCTTAAGAGGTACTCCAAAACATCGTATGATGTCATGCTCAATTTATCGACAGTTACTGAAGACATGATATGATGCTTTGCGCAGTTTAAGGGTAAAGACACTAAGTAGGAAACTATGAGGATGAAATTAAGTACGTTTTGGTTTTATTTTTAATAAGGTGTAGGTTGGACAGCTTTGCAATTTGTTAGGGAGTGAGTTCCATAGAATAGGTCCCTTTGTTTGCATAATGTTTACACAGATTTCGTTTGACTCTGGGAGATATCGGAGAGATTTATTTCTGGTGTGGTGATTATGGGTTCTATTACATCTGTCAAGGAAGAATTTCAGATCAGTATTTACATTTAGGAACAAGGATTTGTAAATTTAAATTGGACAAGATAATGTGTAGTGTGTATGTTTAGCATGTTTAGGGATTTAAACAGAAGGGGCTGTGTGTTTCTGAAAACAGTTTGTTCTGATAGCAGATTTTTGCTGGGTGATGATAGGCTTGAGGTCGTTTGCAGTGGTTGAACCCCATGCACAGATACCGTATGTAAGATAGGGATAGATTAGCGCGTAATATAATGAGGAGAACAGAGTGAAGAGATCATCTTGAGATGATTTCAGGGCTTAACATCCCCATGGTCCGGTCCTCGACAAGGCCTCCTTTTTTGTTACACAACCCCAGGAAGCAGCTCGTAGCAGCTGTCTAACTCCCAGGTACCTGTTTACTGCTAGGTGAACAGGGGGCATCAGGGTGAAAGAGAAACTGCCCATTTGTTTCTGCCTCCTCCGGGAATCGAGCCCGGAACCTTAGGACTACGAATCCCGAGTGCTGTCCACTCATCCGTCAGGCCCCCTGACATGTTATGTCAGGGAACATAATGTCTGATTTTAGAAACTATACCAACTGTTTTTGAGACTTGTTTGGTTATGTGTTATATGTGGGTGCTGAAGTTGTCTCTTGTCTATGTATAGGTCAAGGAACTTTCCATCATTTTTATTGCTCATGTTTACATTGTCTATCTGAAGCTGAATTTCATTTGTTGATTTACATCCAATTAAAATGTAGTGGATCTTTTCCATGTTTAGAGTGAGTTTGTTGGTTGACATCCATGAATGGACTTTTTAAATTCATTATTTACAACATTATTTAATGTGTGGGGGTTGGGGGTCTGAGTAGAAGGTAGTATCATCATCAAATAGTATAGATTCTATACTATACATTCATGTTTTCATCAATGCATCTGGGGTGCCAGAAGGAAAGTGGACTTCTTTAAGAAAGAATTAGTTTCTTGCAAGAAGTGCCAGATCAACTGGGTTGTAGTGGATATGTGGGTCTGCAGGTTGCTCAGCAACAGTCTTGTGGACCAAGTCATCATAAGTCAAACCTAGTCCCCAGGCTGAGCTTGGGAAGTAAAGAACTCCCTGAACTCACTCTATTATCCATATTGAATGATCTCCAGTAAACCCCTAGCAATTCATATAACCCACTATTGGGATTCAGTACTGTACAGTACTTGAAAGTTTCCACTGGCACCAGTGCTGAAATATCATTCTGCCTGACTGTTTCATGATTATTATTTATAGGCACCAGAGCTTACCTTAGCAGAGCAACCATATATGATTCCACTCAGAAAGTTGCTTTTCATATTCACTCAAAACCTGAACTTTTTTTCTCCTAGGATAAAGTCATCCATATATTGCTGTTAGACAAGTTGCTCAATACTGCACAGGACCAAGATGCTGAAGTGTCAAATCAACTCATCTCAACAACAATCACCTCATTTGCTCAGTAGGTTGAGGGTGCTAAAAGGTTATGCTCTCTCTAACTTGTCATATTAATTCTGTCTTTTATGTAGTGCCAAATACTCATTTTAATTGTATATATGTGTATTGGGAATATACTGTATTTTAAATAATCTTTCATGTAGCTATTGCCTAACCCTCAAAGTGCTCATTTAAATTTTTGTCACTATTGCTATAAAAAAAATCTTGAGATATGGCAAATCTGAATTGAGAGGTATGGAAGATACACAAAATCATATACCCACCCTTATTTTGGCCTGAGCAGTGGTCAACATTTCTTCTGGCATTCATCAGCATTACATTGTGATGGGCACTAAACTAAACCATTTTTTATTTTTCATATTAAATATATTCCAAAGTAAGGAATGTGTGTTAGTAAAAAAGAATACCAAAATAAATATACGAAGTACAACGGCATTCATTTGATAACAAACATTTTGTGGCCTCTCATGACTACTGAGACACATCATTGGCGTTATTATAACATTGATGCAAAAGGTAGATATTTATTTGACAATTGCAGTGCACTAGATCAACATATGACAAAACCCACACTTTGAGGGTTAATACGCACGTGGCAAAGTTTATACAACATGTCACAATTTATTCAAATTATTCGGTATTAATTTTTAATCATATTCATAGGGCAGAAAAGTTCTTGTGCAAGTTCCGTTGCCACCAGCCACTTCTTCAGGATATTGACAGAAAGGTGAAGGAGGCCTCTGAACACATTCATCCAGCCAATGATGTAGACCAGATGCAGAATGTGTTGCAGGATGTGCTCATCCACTGCTGGGAGACTTTACTCAAGAAACATTCTCCAATTGTTCAGATGAATACTAGCTTCCAGGACATACTGTTTAGGGCACTGGATTAGTAAGTATCAGAATGTAGTCACAAATGTGATGACTTTGGGTAGTGTAAGTGATTTGGTCAGTGTTGGTTATAGACAATTTAGTGCTGATGGGCAACTGGTAAAACTTGAGCTACAAGTGTAGTTAGTAAGAAAATCAGTAACAGCTGTGATGAGGATTCAAACCTATACTCTGGTAACTCCCAAGCATACACCTTAAACCTAACCTTTCACCATGGCATGGTCAAAAGGGTTGTGTTTTGACCATGTTGTTGCCTAGTTGTCTAGGGCGTGTGCTTGGGAGTACCCAGAGCATAGGCTCGAATCCTCATCACAACTCCTACTGATTTTCTCATTGATGATACATCATGTTAATGTGATTTCTTTGTGCAAAGTAGTTATGATTGAGATGGTTTAGTGGCATTGTTAGAGGTAAACAAACAAGGAATAATTATTGGGATGCAGTCATGTAGGAGTGGTGGTGTACACGTGACAACCATTGTTGGGCTGATGCAGTCATGTAGGAGTGGTGGTGTATACGTGACAACCATTGTTGGGCTGATGCAGTCATGTAGGAGTGGTGGTGTACACGTGACAACCATTGTTGGGCTGATGCAGTCATGTAGGAATGGTGGTGTACACGTGACAACCATTGTTGGGCTGATGCAGTCATGTAGGAGTGGTGGTGTACACGTGACAACCATTGTTGGGCTGATGCAGTCATGTAGGAGTGGTGGTGTACACGTGACAACCATTGTTGGGCTGATGCAGTCATGTAGGAGTGGTGGTGTACACGTGACAACCATTGTTGGGCTGATGCAGGCATGTAGGAATGGTGGTGTACACGTGACAACCATTGTTGGGCTGATGCAGTCATGTAGGAGTGGTGGTGTACACGTGACAACCATTGTTGGGCTGATGCAGTCATGTAGGAGTGGTGGTGTACACGTGACAACCATTGTTGGGCTGATGCAGTCATGTAGGAGTGGTGGTGTACACGTGACAACCATTGTTGGGCTGATGCAGTCATGTAGGAGTGGTGGTGTACATGTGACAACCATTGTTGGGCTGATGCAGTCATGTAGGAGTGGTGGTGTACACGTGACAACCATTGTTGGGCTGATGCAGTCATGTAGGAGTGGTGGTGTACACGTGACAACCATTGTTGGGCTGATGCAGTCATGTAGGAGTGGTGGTGTACACGTGACAACCATTGTTGGGCTGATGCAGGCATGTAGGAATGGTGTAGTACACGTGACAACCATTGTTGGGCTGATGCAGTTATGTAGGAGTGGTGGTGTATACGTGACAACCATTGTTGGGCTGATGCAGTCATGTAGGAGTGGTGGTGTACACGTGACAACCATTGTTGGGCTGATGCAGTCATGTAGGAGTGGTGGTGTACACGTGACAACCATTGTTGGGCTGATGCAGTCATGTAGGAGTGGTGGTGTACACGTGACAACCATTGTTGGGCTGATGCAGTCATGTAGGAGTGGTGGTGTACACGTGACAACCATTGTTGGGCTGATGCAGTCATGTAGGAATGGTGGTGTACACGTGACAACCATTGTTGGGCTGATGCAGTCATGTAGGAGTGGTGGTGTACACGTGACAACCATTGTTGGGCTGATGCAGGCATGTAGGAGTGGTGGTGTACACGTGACAACCATTGTTGGGCTGATGCAGTCATGTAGGAATGGTGGTGTACACGTGACAACCATTGTTGGGCTGATGCAGTCATGTAGGAGTGGTGGTGTACACGTGACAACCATTGTTGGGCTGATGCAGTCATGTAGGAATGGTGGTGTACACGTGACAACCATTGTTGGGCTGATGCAGTCATGTAGGAGTGGTGGTGTACACGTGACAACCATTGTTGGGCTGATGCAGGCATGTAGGAATGGTGGTGTACACGTGACAACCATTGTTGGGCTGATGCAGTCATGTAGGAGTGGTGGTGTACACGTGACAACCATTGTTGGGCTGATGCAGTCATGTAGGAGTGGTGGTGTACACGTGACAACCATTGTTGGGCTGATGCAGTCATGTAGGAGTGGTGGTGTACACGTGACAACCATTGTTGGGCTGATGCAGTCATATCACTTCCATTATTTAATATTATGTTTGTTAATCTTCTCAGGTGTGGTTATATAATTTCTGCCCCACACCCATGTCTTCTGTCTACTATATGCCTTGAAAATGTGTTGAGTCACAAAAGTGCTCGGATTAGTTTTGCTTAATTTTTCATATATATGGATAGTAATGCATAATTGAATCCCATGTTTGTGATTATTCTTGCAACATGACAACCAGTATTGGGATGATGCAGTCGTGTAAGAATGATGTACTATATACACAACAACTTGTGTCACTTTGAAGTTAGAGTGGAAGTTTAACTGAAGTAATTGAGCTCCATCATGCTTTTTATCCTCCTTTTGGCCATTTCAGTGTTTTGTGATGCTCTGGTATTTCATACTTTGCTTTCATTATGCCTCTTTATCTGCCTAATGCTCTGATACAACTACAGTTTTCCAGTATGGTTGTTTCTCACCACTGACAAGTTATGACTTTGTGAGGATGAATCCAGAATTTGTTTTTCATTTAATACACAATTAAATCACAGTAATGTGATTTTCTTAATTTAATAGTTTGTGTTGCTGCAGTTATCAATACTTAGTTTTGAAAGTGTTCATTAAATGCCATTCACTTGGATTGTCAGAGATTCAAACTTGGGCCTTAAATTAAGACTGTTGTCTCGTGTTCATTAAATGTTTGGCTGTAACCTTAGTCACATGGATGGTAAGCTCCTTTAGAAAATGCAGTATCTATCAACAATGTAAATGCCTTGGTAACTTCCATTGCAATAAAATCCAAGGAACGGTTCATCTGGAATATAATACATTATTACAAGGAGTACTGTGATTCGTTATAGCTAATTGATTTGGTGGTAATTTTATTGCTCTAATGCTATAAATTTTGCTATTAAATATTCAGAAGCTCATTAGTTTGTTGTAGAAACATGTGTAACTTCAGGACCATTCCAGCTTTATACAATAAATAAGCTCATACAGTGAAAAAATGTATATATAATGTAATTGTAGGCCCATCAGTGTAGACCCCCTCAGTAACTATAATACTGAAATGCTAAGTTTTAGCTTTGATTCACTGATCTTCAGGCGACTGAATTAACGAACTCTGCCTCGCCTCAGCTATGTGTTAGGTCGCCTGCATGAAGTGTTGTGGTGGCTAGTGTGTGAGCGATGTCAAGTGGTTGACCAGCTGGTGAAGACAAGACTATCTCACCTGCGCCATGCTAATCTTTCTGCTATGCAGCTTGGTGTTCCGGCTAATTACTACACCCCGCTTCCTGCTGCTGTAAGTTCTCTAGCTGTATATTAAATGCTAAGCTGTGTTTGTGTTTTTGTTTTTGTGCATGTTGTTTTGAATACCTGTATGTTCAATGGCTTTCCCAAGGCATCAACTGCTTCTACTAATCTATGTGCACTGTTACAGTCAGTGGTAATATACTTCCAATAACAGTTAATTTAGTGTAAGGCACTCGCCTGGATATTCACATCTAACTTGTGGGAGGGCGCTCCCAGGGTAACTAACTGGCGAAGATGCTTCCAACCTGACCCATCCAAGGTCCGACCCCCAGTGATGAATCACAGTTGTAGATATGTACTCTGTCGTCCAAAGGAATGACAGGGTGTAATCAGACCTCGCTGGAGAATGGAAAAAGTCATCAACAATTAATTTATTCCACTATACACCACCAGACTCGTAACAAGATAAATACACACTCACAAGGGACCCCCTTAATTTGTACAGACACAGTATAACATTCCCTTGCGATATAGATACACTAGCTGTACCCGGCCACAGCAACCTTTCCCTGTCTCCCAGTCCTCCCCACCATTCCTCACTCCCCATCCCTTTGTCCTCCCCACCATCTCCCACTCCACCGTCCCCTCGTCCTCTCCACCATCTCCCACACCCCCGTCCCCTCGACCTCCCCACCATTCCCCCGTCCCCTCGACCTCCCTACCATTCCCCCTTCCCCGTCCCCTTGTCCTCCCAACCATCCCCCACTGATGGGGGTTTGATGCAGTCCTTGGCATTTTGGGGCTGGTCGCTTTGGGTGATTTGGTTGTTGATTTCTCGGTGTTTGGCTCTCCTGGTCGTTCACGTCCGGGGGGGTGTCTAATGTCCTGGCGGAAAGCCTGTCTCGTTTCATTTCCCCTGTCCATGGAATGGATGGTTGATGCCGACTCGTTCAGTTGGCTCTCCCAGACATACGAGCTCCCAAAGGTGAACCTCTTTGCATCGGCGTGGTCAAGGCGACTCCCGTATCATGTGGAACCCTTCCCCGATTGCAAGGCTGTCGGGGTCGACGCCTTCAGGCAATACTGGTCGAGATGGGGTTACCATTTTTTTTTTGAGATATATATACAAGAGTTGCTACATTCTTGTACAGCCACTAGTACGCGTAGCGTTTCGGGCAAGTCCATTATCTCTCTCCCCCCCCCCCCCCGTTCCGCTCTTGCTCCAGGTCCTGGCTTGCTTGGAGACTTACAAGGGGAGAGTAGTCCTCTTGGCTCCTTGGTGGGCAGCCCAGCCTTGGTTTCGGGCGCTGTTTGCTCAGTGTTCGAATCCAGGGGTCTTCCCATGGCTCTGCCTCTTTCAAGAGATCGGCCCGGTCCGCTACGTGGCTTGTTCGATCTTTACCTCGAGTCTTCGCTACTGGGTTTTTTGACTCTGGTCTATCACCATTTGTATGGTGATCAGATGTTTTCTTTGATAATGTACCACCTGCGTGCTTCATCTTGGTGGCAGTATGAAGTTTTCTGGCGGTTCTAAAGTTTTTTCTTGTCCTTTCTTGTGCGTGTACCACCCTTGTTCACTGGCCGTTCTTGTCTACCCTGTCACTTCCCCACTTTCCAGGGTAGCGTCATTGGCTCCTAACGGGTGTTAGGTGTTGTGTGTTTTGCTTGCACACTTAGTGTTGTCTTACAGTGACTCCTTTGTCTGTGTATCTTGTTCTTGTTGTACTGGGGGACACTGCCCTGCATTTTGGTGCTCTTTGTTTCGTTTTTCGGCTCCTGGGTCTTTTCTCGATCTTTGGACACTCCTTCGTTACCCCAGTCCGTGTTGGTGTCCTCATTCCTTGACTTGGTCTCTGGACACTAATTCCTTGCCTATCTTCGGTGCCTGGGTGCAACCTGACATCCATGGTGTCCCTCTGTGTATGTGCAACCCCCCCCACGCCACGCCACGCGTTGTGGTGGGTTGTGTACATTGCATTATCTGCTGCTACTTGGTCCTTATTCCGGTCTTTTCCTTGCCTATTTCTGTTTTTCTCCCCCTCTATGCTAAACATGGCTGTGTATCTTGGTTGGTGCTTCTTGGCTATACTGTTGTTAGGTGCTGGGGGAGGGGGCCTTTGTCCTTGTTCAGTTCCCTGATTTTGGACTACCCAAGTGTTCAGTTTTAGTCCTGGGATCACTTTTTCCTTGTTCTCCCTGCAGGCTTTTGTGTTGCAATATCTGCGGGAGGTTGTGGACTTCCGGTCAACCGCTCCTGCTCTCCTGGTTTCCTTTCTTGGGACAGGGATAGCTTGGATTCCGGTCCTGGTTACGGCTTTTCTTTGTTCTTTTTCCGGAACGTGCGTTTTTGTTTTCTTGCAGTACACGTCCTGAGTAGTTCTCCTCCTGTATACCTCGGTGACGCGTGCCTCGCTCTTCCCTGCTAGAGCTGGTTGCGCTGCTCCTTACGGTCTGCTTTTCGCTTCGCGTCTCGAGCTTTCATTCGTGGTGCTCGGTTTCCTTGTTGGCCTCTGCCTGGGCCCTGGCTCTTCGGGGTTTGGCCATGTTGGTCCTTCCAGGGTCCTGGGGTGGGGGGTTCCTCGCGGACAGAGCGGTTCTGCTCGTCCGGGTTGGTTTCTTTTCGGCTCGCTGGGATGGGGTTCCTGGTTCCCTGGTGGCCGTTCCTTCTAAGTTTTTGCCAGCCTTATTTGGAGGGCTCTGCTTTCCTTGGTTCTGATCCTGAGGGGCTTCCTGCGGGCTCCGCCTCTTTATGCGGAACGGTCCATCCCTATACGATTCTGGTTCCTTCTTCCCCTAGAGTCTTTGCGTCTGGGGTTTTTGTCATCTTCTCGTCGCTTGTGGGGGTGCTGGTGGCTTCGTTGTTGGTCTCCCACCTGCGTGCTTGATCTCGGTGGTGGTGTGTGGTTCCTGGTGGTCCTTCTGGTTTTCCTATCACTGCAAAAAGTTCTTCGGTCTTTGATAGGGTTGTCTTGTCTTTCCCTTCTTCTTGTCTTCTTCTGGACCGTCTTCTGGTGCAGTGTACTGTTGCCTTGTATTGGGTGGCGCTGGCGGAACTGCTCCAGCTTGCGTTCGTTGTTGCTGTTACTTCTGCTCCGTTCCGCTTGCTGTTTTGGGCGTTGTTTCACCTCCGGGCTGATCTTGCGCTTTCGGTCCTGTCCTGGTCATTGGCCTGGGTTGTCTATTTTGTTCTTCTCCTCGGTTGTCGTGATCCCTTCGGTTCTGGTGTATTTTTGTTTTTCAGGTCTACTTCTGTTGGTATTGACCTATAGGGGTCGGGTCGGGGAGTTTCCAGCTCTCCTCTGGCGCCCATGTTTTTCTACCTCGTTGGTCCTCGTGGTAGGTTGTTCTTTTGATGTAGTCTCCTTTTTCTCGGGTGATGTTTGAGTCTGCTGCTTCCTGTGGGGTCCATGGGTTGCTGCTTGGTTGGTCAGGCCGCGGGTGCTTTTTGTTGTTCGGTTGCGGCTCTTTGCTGTTCTCTGCGCGTCTCAGCCTCTGGGTCTGTTGATGCGTTTTAGTTTGCCCGGATTCCCTTGCTTCCCTCCTTCCTGTTCTGGGGTTGAGGTGTCCCGGGTTGATCGGAACCGAGGCAAGGAACTTACTTTTCGTCTCTGGTCTAGTTTTTATGTTAGGGCATGTGGCGTCCGCTTCCCGGATCCTTCCCTCTTTTCATTATCTGTGGTGAGGTAGCTCTGGGGAGCCGACGGGGCTCCCCCCAGAAAATCAGCTTTGAATTTAATGAAAGGGCATTTTCTGGGCGAGTACCTCCCTCCCTCTAGTCGGTGGTGTTTTTCGCATTTTTGGACATCCAGCCTAAGAACTGTAGGTAGGGTTGCCGACGGGCGAGTCTGGGGCTCCCCTTTCCCCCTCCCAGGGAGGAGGGGTTGCGCAGACAGCTGCGCGGCGACATAATGACGTCATGCTAGTTTTCTAATTTTCGTTTGGGGAGTTTTGTCCACCTGTTCGGCTTTCGGTCACAATACTTTTACCAGAATAAGGGTTTGTTTTGGGGCGCCTACCTTTCTGGGTGCCTGTTCCAGTCGATGGCAGACATAGAATGCTCCCAACTGCAGGGGGGGGGAGTCTCATAGGCCATTGCTCTTCATGCCTCTCTAGAGGGGCCAGGTTCTGGCTCGTGGTCCCCAGTAGGCAAGAACTCCATGCATTGATTGATGCCAGAAAGATGTACATATCCATTCAGCCTGGATAGCTCTGGGGAGCCTCTGGGACTCGTCTAGAAAATGGCGTTTCATTACATTCAACGCTGGTTTTATAGAATGATACACTACTGTAATTTATAACTGTATGTACAGTATGTTTATTTCCTATTTAATATCCGACTTTCCTTTGTGCTGATGCCTTCCCCACCCCATAAAAGTAGGAAAAGTACTGCTGCTATTAAAGATTTAAATTATGTAGAATTACCGACTCTGGCCGTTTGATTTTAGGTGGTGGAATTAGCATCCCTGCCAAATGTAGAGAGTGCTGTGGGGCGTCTTCAGTGCATTAACTCAACCATTGACTTGATTCAAGCTCAGGCAAAGGAAGCTAGGGTTACTCTGCACCAATACAAAGATCAAGGTATTATAAGGGAGAAAGAAAGTGGTTCCTCTTATACAGTACGGTATGCATTACTGTAAGAGCTCAGTAATCTGAATTCCTGTAATCAGAATGAATTTGTGTTCATTGTTTTCTAGTAAGTGGTGAGAGTGTAGGTGAAGGACAGGAGTAAGCAGGTAAAGTACGAAAAATGTAAAGGTAAATGACTGGAATAACTGGTTGTGGTACAAAAAAAAAAAAAAAAAAAGAGCGTTGAATGTAATGAAATGCCATTTTCTGGGTGAGACCCGGAGGCTCCCCGGAGCTATCCAGGCTGATATGCTAATATCAGACTTTGGCATCAGTCATGTGTATGTAGTTCTTATGGGCCTACCGGGGACCACGGCCAGAACCTGGCCCCTCTAGAGAGGCAAGGGAAGCAATGGCCTATAGAAACCTATGTGTAATTGGAAGCATTCTATGTCTGCCATCGACTGGGTCAGGCACCCAGAAAGGTAAGCATCCCAAAACAAAACAAATTATGGTAAAAATATTGCTACCAAAAGTTGAACAAGTGGATAAAACTCCCCAAACAAAAACGAGCAAACTAGTATGACGTCACCTGTTGCCGCACCGCCGTCTGCGCAGCTCCCCCCTCCTCAGGATGGGGAAGGGGGAGCCCCAGACCTTCCATGCCAGCGATCCACACCCGAGTTTTGAGGCTGGATGTTAAAACACACGAAAAACCGCCGACCGGAAAGAGGGAGGGATGCCGGGGAGCCTCCAGGCGTTATACCCAGATAATGGCGTTTCATTACATTCAACGCTGGTTTTCTGGGGGGGAGCCCCTACAGCTACCTGGAGCTAACTGCCCACAGAGGAAAAAAGGGACTTACCTGGGAGGTGGTTGCTGCTCACTCCTCAACCCGAAGTCGAGAAAACTGGCTGCATCCACCGACCCAAAGCGACATAACTGGGCCTAGGGACGTTAACAAGGTAACGAGCAGGCTGGACCCTGTTCGACCGCCAAAATCCCCGCGCCTGAATGTCAGCCCGAGACATATTGCTAAAGACGGCGGCAAGAGCCGCGAACTTGCGAACGTCATGGGCTTAGGGATAGGCTGCAGGCTGGCTAGCCTTAATAATCCTGCTGACGACCTGGGAGACCCGCACCTGCGAATAGGGAAGAGGGGAAACTGGATCAACCCAAAGTGCGTCCATGGACACAGAAGTCATAGCGCACAAATAACGACGGAGAGCTGCAACCAGACACAAAACATGATGCACCCCCGGCCTAACCAATCAAACATCAACAACCCAGGGGGGACCCCTCCGGAAAGCAGCAGTCTCATTCTTTGCCAGAAAAGGAGGAGGCTGCAGTCGAACAAACCGATCACCCCGACCGAAAGAGGTGATCTGGGGACGGGGGAGCTGCGCAGACAGTGACGCAGCGGCGATTGTGACGTCATGCCTGTTTTCAGATTGTGGAGTTTTGCTTGGTAGTTTGGTTTTTGGTAGCAGTTGTAACCAGGTGGAGTTTGTTTTGAGATTCCTACCTTTCTGGGTTCTAACCCAGTAGATGGCAGGCATAAAATGCTTCCAACCACATAGGGGTTTCTATAGGCCATTGTTCTTCATGCCTCTCTGAAGGGGTCAGGTTCTGGCTCGTGGTCCCCGGTAGGCTAGAACTCCAATCGAATTGACTGATGCCACGGTCTCATACATACATATCAGCCCGGTATAGCTCCGAGTATCCTCCTGGTCTCGCCCAGAAAATGGAGTTTCATTATATTCGACGCTGGTTTTTTGGACACTAATAGTAAGAAATTAAACTACAGAAACTTGAATGCGGGTGAGCCCTATATGATTCGGATTACTGAACGTAGACTGTGTATTTTATCTCCTGACTTGGCCCCACTATATTGAAAAAATGCTCAGAATATAGATTTCCAGAAGAAAAAATTACAAACACAAAGTTATTTTTTTATAATCCAGCAAAGCTTTATGCACTTGTTAATGCAGATGGGGAACCTGAGCTGGTGCTGAGCACAGCGGAGTTGGTGGCCCTTTTGACAACGGTGGTAGTACAGGCTCAGTGCTCTCACCTTGTATCTAACATCTACTACATGACGCACTTCGTCTTCTCCGTTACTGAGGATGATCCACTCTGGTATGGAAGAATAGAATGTGTATAAAAAATTATTGATTTGTACAGTATATCAGAATTTTTTATGCCATTATTCAATAAGATCCTTCACTGCCATCTGTTTCATCTTATAAGATATTTATATTATTTTTATTTTTATTTATTAACATGTTTTCCATAGAATTGTTTTCTTGTTTAACAATTTTTATTCCAAGTTTGTTATTTTAAAACAAAAAATGTATACAGTACTATATTTATAAAAGAAAATATGCTCATTCATGTCATTTTGTCCATTTTTAAATTTTGTGGAAAAATGTTAGTGTATATTATATCATGTAAATGTAAATATAGGTATAGCCCCCCAGTTTGCACTACTTTTAATTTTTGGACAGGAAAAGTCTTGGTCTGTTGCGACTCACTTTGGAGAACATAATGAAGCTTGATGTAGCTCGCCTTCCACCTGCCACCAAAAACATGCGAAAGGAGCTTTCCCTTCAAGACCTTATGCAGGTTAGAGCATCTTGTCATGATTTTGTTTTTCCACATTTTAATCTCTTGAATATATAAGTACTTATGCAACTTGTTGTAGTGGTTAGGACTGTATTGTTGACCGGGAATGCTAATTTAAATACCTTGGGAGTGTGTAAAGGAAATATTGTTCACCCAGCTGTTCTTCCTGTGAAGAACTGGATGAATTCACACCAGTTATATCTACTGCTGTGTCTTCCGTCTGCTCATATTGTCGTGCCTTTCAATGAGTTGGTCATGTAACACTGATGCTGCTATTGGTGTAATCTTTAAATTTAGGATTTGTAAGGAATTTATTTAGCATTATGAATTTAGCACTCATTCATGAGGGCTTCATACCTGAAAAATTCTGTGAATGTGGAATTACAAATACTGTCTCCACTCGATTATCCGGACTATATGGGAAGGACCCCCAGCCGGATATTCACGTGTTCTGGATAATGGTAGTTTTCACCTCCGAGTCCAAAAGTGACCATTTCCAACTATTTTTATATTACAAACAACATAATTTGAATTGCCTTGCCACATAAATATTAAATATTCAACTAGAAACATCAACTTACCTTGTTGGTGTTCGTCATCTTGATTGATGCCACACATCTTGAAGTTAAGATTTCTTAACAATTTACGTAACCTATACTAACACAACACTAAAATTAACACTTAAAATTACTGTACAGTTCATTAAGCAAAGTTTTGACTGCCAGCTGCTGAAGCCTCGCTGGTTGAAGGCATTTGGCTTGCCTGTGACGTCTCACTGATTGAGGTGTATAACACGTAACTTGTCTTTAATTGTTAGGACAACCTTCTTCCTCTTAACACCTCCAGAATGATTGATGCTGCTACCAGACATAGTCTTGGCCAAAAATGTTCAAAGTTACTATGAAAATAAAAAACTTGTTTAAAAAAATATTTCACTAATAGCGCGGCACTATGGTGTAACAAGAGGGACGGGAGCACATGGGTTGACCAGTGTTGGATGGGTCCACTTGGGGCAGCTATAGCACATTACGTAGGCCGCCAGGAGGAAAAACTCACAATATTTTTGAAGGAAACTTCAGCCTGTGCACGTTGTTTTTAGGAAACTTATATATTTATTACATAATTACTAATATTTTTTTTGCTATGATGAATTGTTCTAAAATTAATGGCAATTCCTGTACCCAGGTGGTCTCTCCCACCCTCCTGACTCCTCCCACCCACCCCACCCCCTCCTCCATTATGCGCCTCGAGCCACAGCCAGACGGGATTAATACAGTACTGCCCGCCCCATGGCTTTCACATCCGGACAATTCAATGATTATCCGGCTGACTGTCCGGATAGTGTAACATCGGCAGCAAGTTAACCGGCTCCGATTTTTTATCCGGCTCCCATCGCCATTTTGGCCGGATATTGAGAACTTTATCCGGTCACGATTTTGGGCGTTTTCCGGATGTTCGAATCCCGGATAATTGAGTGGTTACAGTATTGAATTATGACTATGAGAAATATGGGATATGCTTAGGAGACCTCCAGAAGACCATCTTTTTTTTTCTTTTTTATTACATTTGTATCTCAAAAGGTGTCCACCCACCAATATATACTGCAAACAGCAGGTTTATATGATTGTGTGGAAAGTGAGTGGAATAAATCAGGGGCAGAAGTTGGAAATGGCAAAAGTATTTAATGATGCATAAACCTAGCAAATCAAGTTTTCCAAGACAAAAATGGGAAATGATGAAGGAAGAGTAGAATGGAGTAAATGTTAAAAGAGCAGCAGTGAAAGAAGATGAGTATGGAATGAGTGAAGAGTAATATGGGGCAATAAATAGCTTTCTTATAGCAGTTCATGGTGCTTGTGTGTGAAATGTTAGTGTTAGTTTCTCCTGATAATGGGAAACCATTGACTATGATTTTTCGTTACCGAGGACAGGAAGCCTGTTAGGCATGAACAAATCCACAAGGGCCGTGACGAGGATTCGAACCCGAGTCCAGGAGCATCCCAGACACTGCCTTAATCGACTGAGCTACGACAGGGTTAAAAGGGTTGAAACCGAAGTTCTACTGAACTTACTGGATCCCGTAGCCTCTGAGGCACAAACCAGGATTTTACACAACCCCCCCCCCCCCCCTGCACCCGAGCTATGTCAATAGGCCGTTCTCCCTCTTCGCCCTTACATCATTACACACAGAGATCACACTAACATGATGCATCAAATGTTAGGCATATTAAGGTTTCCATAGGCTAGCGACTTACCTTGCCCAGGATGCAGCCCACAAAAAACATGCCCTAATGACTCCATCCTCTGAGGGAAGTGAACCAGTGGGACCTTTTGGTTGGAAACTGAAAGCATGTAAAATAGAATGAACGAAGAGATTACAAAAAGGTAAAGTAAATTATTCGGGAAACGGGAAGTTCTTTTGGATTGAAGTAATTTAAGGATTATAGATCACTAAATATACTTAGCTTTAGATTTGACATGGTTTGTACAGCTTTCATCATAATTTATTCTTTAGGAATTTGTATTAAATATAAATAGATGATTTTTTTAAGATGGATGACAGGTATATATAGACATTTTCATTGCATAATTCTAGGTTAGTGCTGAAGTTGAGTCAAGATTTGAAACAAAGGGAGCCAGTCGTAGTATTGGTGATATTACAGCCTTGGATCTACAGCTTCATCAATTAACTCAGCAGATCCAGCTCTCAACACAGGCACTGTCTGACACACGCTTGATTGAGAGGAATTCGGCCAGTCGAAGGTCTGATCGTTCAGCAATGTCTCCCACACAAGACAGTGGTAAAGTGCAGAGTTTCAGGTAAATACCTTGATATTATAACTACACTGCACACCTGGTTTTGGCAAAAACTTCTTTGTGCAATTGTCAAGGACATATTTTTAAAGTTGTTCAATTTCAATCGACCTTTTCTGGCGAGTCTCTCTTCGGCTCCCCAGAGCTATTCAGGCTGATATAAATGTATTAGACCGTGGCATCAATTAAAGGCAATGAAGTTCTTAGGCCTACCAGGGACCACGAGCCAGAACCTGGCCCCTCTCGGAGGCACTAGGAGCAATGGCCTATAAAAACCCCCCATGTGGTTGGAAACAATCTATGTGACATCGACCTGGTCAGGCACCCAGAAAGGTAGGTGCCCCTAAACAAACCCTATCTGGTTAAAATATTGCTACTGAAAACCGAACTGTTGGATACAACTCCCCAACTAAAAACAAGGATGACGTCACAACCGTCACCGCAGCTCCCCACCCCCTGAGATGGGAAAGGGGGATATCCAGATCCCCCGGCACCAGCTATCCACCCCTAGTTCTGTGGCTGATATAAGAGCTGGCGGTCGTGCAACTCTGGCTCCAGATTTTGTCCAGTGCTGTGCCTTGTGATGGGGTCCTGTCCTGTGGTAGTGTGCTGAGCCTGGAGTAATTTCACCAGTACTTGGGCTGCATGCACCTCGGGTTACATTCCCTAGGTGCCCTGTAAGTACTGCCCTTGTGGATTGGGGTTACCTTCCACAAGTCGCTTGGGACCTACCTCTGCCGTGGTCTTTTGCTGCTCGGTAATTGCTCGCCCTTGGAGTTGGCTGGGGTGTTTCATGCACCCCTGTTTGCCTCTTGGCGGGAGGTAGCTACATCACTTGAAGGGGTTCAAGGTACTGTGCAGCTCATTTTCAGCATAATACAGTTGCCGTTTTTTTCCCGCCTGGTGATGATGTACTCATGCAGGTTTTTCTTTTATTTTTGTTTTCTGCCTGGTGTAGGGTTTGCCCTTTGGTGTTGTTGACCCTTTTATATATATATATATGTATGTATGTAATCATGGTGGTCCTCCGCTAGGTCCCCGTGTGTGTACTCGTCACGGGTTCAGCCATTAGTGGTTCGCTTGGTAGTTTGGGATACCAGTTAGCAGTACCTTGCCTGGGCTTCCCTTAGCAGAGCCCTTAGCAGAGCATCTAAGGGCCCCTGAAAACCCCCACTGGGGCTCACGTGACCATGGTCCAGTGGATGCATTCCCTGGGTCTCATCTCGTTTCATGCGAGTTTGAAGGCTGCTCTGTTCCTTTGTCTCAGGGGGGACAGTCGTTTTTTCTGCCTACGTCATGCTGCCTGTTGGGTCGGTGACACCTTTGACCTAGAGTCCTGCGAGTGGTGTTGCTTGTTCGTGACTCAATTCACCCAGTCTGCTGCTGAATTGCTTCGGGTGCAGGCAGCTCGTGCGTTGCAGGGTAGGTTTAGGTTGTTGCAACATGCTCGGGTTGTTGCTTCCCCGGACGCCCCGAGGCTGCCCCCGCTTTGTGTATAGGGACCCGGACTTGGTGTTGGTCGCTTCAGCCTTGGTTCCGTCCTCGCCCCCTTGTTCTTCCCCTTCAGTCGTTCATTCTGTGTTCCCCCACTCCCCTGCTTCCGGCCACTAAGCGCCTGAGGGCTTCGGGGTCAGGGTGGGGTTTAGAGGTTTCTGAGGCTTGGGCAGTTTCGTGGGTTGCCCCGTCCGGGGTGGTTATGGAGGCATTCGAGTCTGTTCCTCCGGCCGATGCTCCAGGGTCTGACCAATGGGCCCCTTCTCTTCCGGCTCTTTCGGCTGCCCTGGCTTTTTCTTGTGAGGCCGGGGCTTTGGAGGACAGCTCGGCCCTAGGGTCTGGTGTAGAGGCTCCTGGGGTTGGGGAGGAGCTGACTTAGGGGCCTTGGGCTCCATTGGACCCCGTTTGGATTTTCCGTCCTTCTGAGCGGGGCTTACTGTTGCAAGAAGTGGGGTTTTCCTTACCCCCCCTCTGCATACGATTTGGACTTGGGTTCTGCTCCTTCCTGGGTTCAGTTCCGTGTCCCTGTGGATTCTTCGGTTCCGTCTTTCCAGAGGTTTTCGGCTACCCACATCTCTCCGCCTGAGGTGCGGTCGGCCTTTGCGGCTTACCTCCTGCGTGACCCGGAGTACACCTCCATAATGGATCCCTCTTTGTTCAGGTTTAGATCGTCATGTCCTTACTGGGTGCGCTATGAGGTTCCGGGGTCGTCCTGGCTTGCAGACTGCCCCTTGTTTTCGCTGGATGCTTGGGACTCGTTCTGTCGGACCCCGCACGTTTGAGTGGCGTGAAGCATTAACGGTGGTCCAGGTTTACTTGGGGGCGATTTTGAGCACTTTTAATGAGTGTCTCTTTCGCTCCTGCCCTTCTGCTGGATGTTGGTGCGGTGCAGCTCCTTCCCTGTCGGCTGCTTTTGTAGCGGAGGATTTGCGCACTCGTGGCTTTTTTGCTTCGGTCCTGCGTTTCTTTTCCCTCCTAGAGCTATCTTCGGATTGGCTTGCAGAGGACATTGAGGCGCTTGGGGCTGTTCCTGGGTCTGACGCCTTGGTCTCGGCTGCTCGGGCATCGTCTGCCGTGTTGAAGCTCTTTGCGCCGATCCTGTGGGAGGCGTTGCTGCGGTTTTTCGCTGCGCGTTTCGCATGTCGTCAGGTGGTCCTTGCTTCCATCTTGGAATCCGCTTGGGCCCTGGTTCTTAGGCTGTCTTCTCTCTTTTATCCTCTGGTTTTTGAGGCTTCTGCGGTTGAGGGTTATATTCCGGCGGCTTCTTCCTCTTGCCTCTCTATGTCTGAGTTGGTGCTGCGGGAGAATCGGGGGTTCCTTCCCAGCAGGGTCGTACCAGGGCTCGCGGTTCCGTTCGTCAGGGTGGGCCACAAAGAGTTGGGTTCAGTGCCAGTGCCGCCTGCGGTCCCACCTGAGCCTGGTCGGCGCGGTTGCCTCTACCAGGGTGGCGACAGAGGCATTTGAGTCAGTTCCTCCAGCTGTTCCACCGGGTCTGACCAGTTGGCCCCTTCTCTTCCTACTTTTCCGCCTGCCCCGGCTTTTTCTTGTGAGGCCGGGGCTTTGGAGGATGTCTCTCCCCAGAGATCTCATGTGGAGATTCCTAGGGTTGGGGAGGGGCTGATTTTGGGGCCTTGGGCCCCATTGGACCCCGCCTGAAGTTTTCCAACACTGAGCGGGGCTTTTGGTTACAAAGAGTGGGGGTTTTCTTTTTACCCCCTCTATGTACGAGTTAGTTTAGCCCCTCCCCAGGTTCGGTTCCGTGTCCCTTCGGGTCCATCGGTTCCATCCTTCCTGTGGGTAATTTTTACCGCTTTCTTAACTTTTTTTTATTTTGGACATATATTCTTCTACATCATGTCTCAATCAAGTTCAAATTGGATCCCTGCATGACCATTGGTCACGGATGCCAATGGGGCTATATGAGCCGCTGTGATTTTGTGCTTAATTCTCAGGGTTCTCGAAGGTTCGAGAAAAGCTTCGATACTTAAAATATTTTTGGAACGTCTATCAACTTCCAGTGAGGCTTACCTCCAGTCCTTTATTGGACTCATTGGTCCTCTTCTGTACTAATTGTCATCTTTCGATACTCCATCTCGCCTTCTTCTACTGTGCATGCAACTCTGGACATAATCCACTAGCGATACTCCTGGAATATTGCATGGCTCAGCTGTGTCGTGACACGATAGTGTCTGCGCTCTACGCGTGAGATTATACGGCCTGGCGACACTGTCAGCCAGGCACTGGTTCTCGATTTTGTTATGAGTGTTGGGTATTGTTTGCAATGCTCTTTGGACACTTCATTGCCTCAATCAATGCTATCTGGACACTCGTTCATTGACCGCTGTGCAGTGCCTGGCTGTACCCTTATACTGTATATTCATTGGAGTGTGGCTGTATATGTACTTGATCGTGCATATTCCGTTACCACTTGCTTCCAAAGTCTTGTTAATTCATCATATTGATTATACTCTCTTGTCCCTAGCTACCGGTGCTTGGACTATTTTTAGGGTCTTTTCATTGCTTGTTTCCATATTTCCTTCCTCTGTACTACATGTTGTTGTGTGTCTTATTATGTGCTTATTGACTTTACTAGTGTTGGTGCTTGGTTGGACTGTGTACATGTTCAGTTCCCTGATATTGGACAGCCCCAGTGTTCAGTTATAGAATGGAGTTCGTTCATCTTCTTGTATGTCCCTACCAGCTTCTGTGTTGCAATGTCTGCTGGTGGATGTAGGTTTAAACTTTTCATTGGGACAGGGGGCACTAGGATTCTGGCCCTGGCTACAGCCTTTTCTTTGTGTTCCTTTTCTAGACAGTTCATTTTTTTAGTGCGATACATGTCCTGGGTAGTTCTCCTCGTTTATTACTCGGTGACGCATACGTCGTTCTGCCCAGCTGGAACTGGCTGCGCTGCTCCTGCGGGTTGCGGTGTCGCTATGTTTCGCTTTGCGTCTTGCATGACAGCTCGTGGTGCTCGCTTCCTCGTTTGTCTTGTCCTGGGCCCTGGCTCTTAGGTTTTCGCCGCTGTTTTGTCCTTGCCGTTTGCAGAGTCTGTGGTTCGGCTTTTTTTGGCAAACAGCGGCTTTTCCTTGTCATCCATTATCGGCCTTGTTGGTCCTTTAGGGGTCCCTTGGTTCCTCCCTGGCGGATTTTCCTTCTACAGTAGTTCCTTGCCAGTCTTGGTTTCAGATGCTGCTTGCTCAGTGTCCGAAAACCGTGTGGGTTTTCCCACGGCTCCGCCTCTTTCACATGATCGGTCTGGTCCGTAACATTGCTGGTTCGCTCTTCTCCTCGAGCCTTCAAGTTTGATAATTTTGACTAGTGTCTCACCATCTGTTGATCAGGTGACTTCGTTGCTAGTGTCCCACCTGTGTGCTTCGTCTCGGCGGCGGTATGGAGTTTGCTGGCGGTTTTTCCTTTTCTTTTTGTCTCTTTGTAGGTATCCTGCACTTTGTTGACGTGGTCTTGTCCTTCTCTCGTGAAGGTTTGGGACCGTTGTCTTGACACATACTGTTGCCTTGTCTTGTGCAGCGGCTTGCGGAGCCGCTTGCGGTTTGCTTTAGGTTTTGCTTTATATTGCTTTAGGTTTTGATGTTCCTTCTGCACCGTTTCATTGCAGAAGGTTTTTTTTAGTTTTTTTTTCCTTCTGCTGTCTCGGGCATTGTTCACCTCTGCCCTGCTCGTGCACTGCCTGAGCCATCCTGGTGTTTGGACAGAGTGCCCTCGTTTCTGTCTTTGCCTCTGTTATGGCCCCTTCGGTTCGGGATTGTTTTCCAAAGCTCTTTTCTTGTGGGCATTGCCTCTGGGGTCGAGTTGGGGAGCTTTGTGCTCTCCTCCAGCACAGGGGTTCCTACTCTTTTTGTCCTGATAATAGGTTTGTTCATTTGCAGCTGTCTTTCTTTTCTGGCAAAGTATGAGACTGCTGCTTTCCGAAGGGGTCCTTGGATTGTTGAAGCTTAGTTGGTCAGGCCGGGGGGCGCATCATGTGTTGTGTCCAGTTGCGCTTTGGGTTGATTCGGTTTCCCTTCTTCCCTGTTCTCGGGTTCGGGTCTCTGTGTTCGTCCGAAGGGTTATTTGGTCTCGCCAGCCTGCGATCTCTCCCCGTGCCCATGATGTTCGTAAGTTTGCTGCGCCTGCTGCCATCTTCGGTAACATGTCCTGGGCCGACATTCGGGCACGGGGGCATTTGGCAGTCAGGGTCCTGGCTGCATGCTACCTCGTAAATGATCCTGGGCCTAGTCGGGCCTGTGTCGCTTTGGATCGGTGGTGGCAGCCTGTTGTCTCGACTTCGAGTTGAGTTGTGAACACCGACCGCCTCCCAGGTAAGTCCCTCTGTTTTCCTGTTTGTTGAAGTAGCTCCATGGAGCTGAAGGGGCTCCCCCCAGAAAACTAGCATTGAATGTAATGAAACTCCATTTCCTGGGTGAATTCCGGAGACTCCATGGCAACCCTCTCTCCGTTTGGTCGGTGTATTTTTGGGAGGGGGCAGTCGCGCAGACATGCGCCGCGGCTCATGTGACTTCATGCTTGTTTGCTTGTTTTCATTTGGGGAGTTCTGTTCACTAGTTGGTTTATTTTAGTCGTTTTAACCAGAATAGAGGTTTGTTTTGGGGAGCTTACTTATCTGGGTGCCTGTCCCAGTCGATGCCAGATACAGAATGCTTCACAATCACAAGTGCATTTCTATAGGCCATTGCTCATCGTGTCTCTCTTAGGGGGGCCAGGTTCTGGCCGTGGTCCCCAGTAGGCCTAGAACTCATTCACACTGACTGATGCCAAAGTTTAGGGATAGACACGTCAGCCTGGATAGCCCAAGGAGCCTCCGAGACTCGCCCAGAAAATGGCATTTCATTACATTCAATGCTGGGTTTTTTCCTCCCTTTCTTTTAGGCTGCGATGTTGAAACTTGGACCATTCGGAGCCCTTTTCATATACAACTGGTCAAAAAAGTTTGATTGAAATTGAAAAACATTTAATAAACCACTAATAAGCCTCTTAATGTATGCATTTAATTTTATAAATGTTCACCCATTTTGTTTTTCCTTTTTGTATGATTAATGTATTCATGAAATTGGTTGAATGCAATACTGCACTATGAGAAGCTATTATTTAACTTTATATGTTTTGGCATAGGGAAATTAGCACTCGGTGTCAACTCAGTGTAATTATGATGTGTTGAATTTGGATGCTGGTTCAGATTTACTGATTGGCACCCGGCATTAACTTGTAATCCCATGTCATTAATCCTCTGCTTCTGAGGAGTAGAATTAAAAATGCTCAAACATTGCTGTTAGGGATTGTTAAAGTTCTGATGGAGCAGAATCTTAGTATCAACAGGAATCAAAATGAAATTATTAGTGGAGATCTTTTCATGGTGGATAACACTGCTCATCAGCATTAACATCTTGAGGATCATTATATTTGTAGTTTCTCATTATTTATATCAAATATTCCATCTGGTTCTGTCCAATAATGTGACTCAATTAGTATGCTGCAACCATTATCTCGACACCATTTCATTCATTGTTTAATTACAGGCTTCCTTTCACATTTCTGTAATATTTTCCAATTTTTTTTAGTCTTCCTCAAAACACTTCTTGCATATTAGTAGTTAAAATGTTCAAGTTTATTATATCAACTAATACTTTATATGTAATAAACCATCATTTCTTGCCACAGGGAGTTTCTGTCGGGCATCCCATCATCATTGCGTGAGAGCTTGCGGCGCAGACAGTCACAACAGAGAAGTGCCATTCAATCTTCACTCAATGGGTAGGATGTACCATGACCTTCATCAATTAGTGAAAAGTTGTCATATTGGATATACTCCTTTTAAAATAGTTCAACACACCATCAGAATGATCAACACATTAGACTTAACAGTTTTGTTCTTAAAGATTTAAAACTGGATGGCTTGCTTGTCTGGGTTACAGCCAGTGAAATAATTTTGGTAGCTACATGTGTGAAGTGATGGGACTAGATTATATTTCAGTACACATGGTGCCTAAGGTTGATGGGCTGTATTTTGTGCACGTAGCACAACAATATTTGTGGGTGTATTGCAGAGGCTGAGTTTGAACCTTTGGTAGTTGTATTCTGCATAGGGATTTTTATTCTTAACATCTAAATCCATCACACACATGATATGCAAGCCCATGTAATGAATGGGGAGTGGTATTTGCAAGCAATTGTTGTCATATATCAAACTTAGTTTCTCTGATTTATACAAGTCCCAAAATTCAGATAATTTTATAAATATTAGGAAAGATATCTAAATTTGCAGTCACTCACACTGCACTTTGTTGAATTTTTGAATGATTGGGTTTTGCAGCAGGGTTTGAGGTAGCTTTGTTTAGCTTTATGAAGAATGGAAATGTATTGCATTATGACGGGTTAAAGTGCGGCAGTTACTTCGGATGTTTCATACCTTCGTGCCTCCAGAATCTTGAAGTATGATTTTTTAAATGGTTTTGTAAAGATGTAAATAACAGATTGATGGTTTGGTAAATGATGATTTTGATACAGGATATTGTATCATAATGTCTTCAGCTATATGTGTACGGTATGGGCTATTTTACCTGCCACAGAAAATGGCAGTTTACCCTCCTTATTTAATGTTACTTGAAATCAACCAAATAAAACTTGCCAAAACAAACTACTCAAGTTTGACAAATACTGTATATAATTTTGTAAACACACAACTTGAAATTTGTTGGCAGTTTATTGGTTGAATTTTTTTTACAATACAGTACCTATAAAAAAATAAAAGGTACATTGTGATTGGATAGAGGCTAGTAATAAGCTTATGTAGAACAAATATAGTATTGTAGTTACAGATGTTTGACCATTGAGGGCAAGCAGTGGTAATGTGAATAAATAGCACTTGATATACATGCAGTACATATTTCCATTTATATTTGATTATGCAAAAATGTACTTTTAGTGTAAATATATGCAGTAATAAATGTTATTTGATATTTACATTATAAATGTTGATATACTTAACATTTCTTTGCATTGTTCAAAACTTCGGATTCCATCAGTAAACACAGTGCAGGGAAAATATTACAAGTGTAGCTTCCCAAAGTAAGCAATAATATTTTCTAGCTACAGTACTTTTGTGCAGAAATGTTATTTTCCAGTGTAGGTGTTAGGTGCCTTATCAGTAGTCTTCTGTCAGTGTTTGTAGTGGATAAAATCCCACACAAAAACCCTTGTGATATTGTCCGTCCATACATATACACGATTTTTGCAATGTGTGTTGGTATTCCAAGCTGTATGAACAAAATGTTGTAATAAAATGTATAGTGTTCAGTGTGCTAGATAAATATATCTGATTATATATTGAAGTAAGAACAATGTCAGTACAGTTGAGGCTTAATTTATTAAAGATTTTTTGTATACATGGCAGTGAACAGAAGCATCTTTTGTAAGATAGTATTACAGTAATTCCTTGAGTTACACAAGGGATGTGTTCCTGTAGAACTTTGTGCAGAGTGAATTTACACACATCAAACATATCGTTATTAGGAAAAATAGGGATGTGTTCCCACAGACCCAAATCATGGTATTTTCCACTCCTATCTCAACAAAACATGTACATTTGTATATTACAAATGTTCTCAAATGTACATTTGTACATTACAAATGTGCTCCTATGAAATCATCACAAATACATTAACGTGAGTATGGTACTCAACATACTATATAAGCTTGTGTATCTGACTTATGGTACCTTTGTTTACGAATTTAATCCGTTCCTAGAGACGGTTTGTCAACCGAAAATTCAAAAACTGAAACGCATTTTCCCACAAGAAATAATGTAAATTGAATTAATCCGTTGCACACACCCAAAAATATTAACTTCTTCTATCGTCATCTGAGACCTGGAATTTCAAGAACAAGAGGTCATAGAGTTAACCCTTGTGTGGCTCAGGGCTAACTAGCATTTGTCACCCACAGGCGCATACCAAAAAAAAAATTTTTTCTTCTAAACCTGTTAATTTGTGTTCTCTGATCATGGGAAAAATAATAAAAAAATTGTAAGTGGCATATATTGCCCACTATAGGATAGGGAAGTCTGGCAAAAAACAGGCGCTGACTCAGCATGCGTCCCAGACGGTCTGTTGCTCGCCAGCTGTCAGGCAGGAGTGGCCATAGAGATAATTACCTAATTATTTCAATGTGTCTGATTGATTTTTCATAGTTTTTTTTGCTGTAATATTATTCAATAGTGTGTAGTGTGATATATTTATATAATAAAATGAGTGAATCATCGCTGTACTCAAAAATATGGTGTGCATATTGTTGATTCAATTATGTTCATCAAGCAGTGAACAAATACTTTGTCGGTTATTACACTATATACACAGGTTATATATAAGTATCTGCATGTTTTGTTCACCATAACGAACCACTAAGTTGCTATTATGAGTCAAAAAGCAACGATGAGTGGCCACCACACACCAGCCAGCCACTCGCTGCCCCTCAACACCTCACTCGCCCACATTCTCCTCCCACCATACTGTTTTTGCTTTTATTTACCATATGCAGACGTTATATATAAATATCTACATTAGTGTTCACCATAACGAACAACTAAGTTGGCATGTTGAGTGACAGGGCAGCCCGCCATTGGCTGTTACTTCCTCCCTCCCTCAACTCACCTGACTCGCCCACATTCTCCTCCCACATTACTGTTTTGGCTTTTATTCACTATATCTATGTTACGGCCCTCTTGGGTCGCAACTGGGTTCTTTCTCCGATGTTAGTAGAGCTTGGGTATCCGGCCCCAAGCTAGTAGTGGCTTTCGAGAGGTGTGTTCCGTAACGCAAGTAAATTAAAGGGGAAGGGAGACAAAGGCAAAAACTTAATAATATAATTATCGCCATCACCATAAATAATATATAGATTATCACACGGGGGAGGTATAAACACTATTATGTACAACGTGGTCTTCCTCTGAAGACCCTGGACGTTCACGGTGCTCAAGACGAGTGGTCCTGGTTCTTCTTGTGGCCTCACGATGAATCCTTTGATTCCCTCGACGAGTCTACCCCGGCCACAGGCCAGCCAAATCACAGTCCCACTGGGTGCACCGTCGTGGAGGCCGTCAACCACAAATCCAGCCTATAGCTGGCAGGTTCCAATCAACAACGCTGGGTAGGCCACTCTACGACCGATACTAGGGTTGCGAGCCCTAGGCAGGAGCCTCGTGTGATTACACAGATCACTCTCCTCGCCACAACACCCCAGTGGTTAGTCTTCTCCACCAGTCAGTCCCGGGTACGACAATTCCTCAACTGCCACGTCACAGGCAAGCTAACACAACAGTGTTCATCCGGGGGGTGACTCAACTTCTGCAGCTAATACTTGGAGACGTTACGGCTGCCTTGGGTAGACTGATCCAACGTTCATTACAGCAGTCCCAGGTCGACTCTGTAATCAGACACGTCATCAGTACTAGTTACACTCTAGGGCACCTCACTTACAGGCTTAGACACAAACGCCCACCTATCCACTCCATAGATGGTGTTGCTGTCTAAGCGTCACCTCACCAGAGGTCGGCAGCGGCTGTGTTATGAGCTGATCAGGACGGGAAACCAGCCCTTGTGGCCGGTATTTCCTGTCCTCACTAGATGGCGTCGTCCATTTGGAGGGGGTTTCGGGAGCTGATCCACAGATGGCGCGGTCGTCACTGCTCCGTGCTCGGACGCTGGGCTCGGGTCCGTAACAATCTACAAGTTATGTTCACCACAACTGTACAACTAAGTTGATATAGTTAGTTCAGGCACTAAGAGACATCGCTACACACACAATCAGCTGGTGGCTGCTTCCCTCACACATTCAAGGTCAGATGCACTAAAATTTCACCCCCAACAATACTGTTTTGTGGTGTTATTACCCTATATACAGATGTTATATATAAGTATCTACATGTTTTGTTCACCATAACTGTTCAACTAAGCTGGTATAATGCCCAAAGAGCATAGTGGCCACCCCTACCAACATGACAAATCATGCAGATGTTGCCACACCCAACACCAAAATGGCTTCTTCCCCCACACTCCTTTTGCTGTTATTACACTGTATATACACGTTATATATAAGTATCTACATTCGTGTTCACCATAATGAACCACTAAGTTGGTATGCTGAGTGGCAGCCAGTGGCAGCCCGCCACTGGCTGCCACTCCCTCCCTCACCTCACCTGACTCGCCACCATTCTCCTCCCACTATACTGTCTTTGCTTTTACAGTATATACAGATGTTATATATAAGTACCTGTATCTGCATGTTTTGTTTACCATAGCAAACAACTAGGCTGGTATAGTGAGTCCAGACAGTAAAAGGTGGTCACACAGAGTCAGCAGACAATGCTACCTCCCTCCCCACCAAGATTACTCCTCCCACTACAGCACTAATTATCACAACAATCCTGCTATTATCAGAATCCTGGTCATTTTTATCACAGTCAGGGGTCTTCTGTAATAATATCGCTAAATAATAGCATGAACATGTATATTATGGCATTTTTAGGCAATGCTGTGGTCACAACCTGAACAGCAGTGCTGTGAGCTCATGCTGCGTGTGTCAGGCTTGGTGGCTCACTCAATACTGAGGCTCTCACACCCGGGAATTTGGCCCACAATTTTTTAAAAAAATGGCGTCTGTTTACAAGAGCCCTGATGAAGGTGTGATGAACCCCGTGTATCCGCGGGCCGTTTAAATCTTGAGTAGTACTCCAATACATCGTATAATGTGATGCGCAAATTATAGCAAGTCACTCAACCCATCATATTATGTGTTGTGCAACTTAAGGGTTAAACTAATGAAACAAAGCTGCCGGAAATATATAAGAAAATTCACTTTTGTAAACAGTGGTAGACGGTTGGAATAGGTTAGGTGATAATGTGGAGGAGGCCAAAACCGTCAATAATTTCAAAGCGTTATATGACAGAGTGCTGGGAAGATGGGACACCATGAGTGTAGCTCTCATCCAGTAACTACACTTAGGTAATTACACTTAGGTAATTACACTTAGGTAATTACACTTAGGTAATTACACTTAGGTAATTACACACACACCACATCCCAGACAGTCCCTTCTGACTCTCTCTTCTCTCCCAACACCCCTTACCTTGAAACCAGCCACCTCAACACCTTCCATTCCCCGTATCTCCAGCCTTTGATACGGTATGACCCGATGTTTGCATTATTCGACGAAATCTTCGGTTATCCAAATAACTATTTTGATATGGTGAAGTTCTTACCAGCCTTAAAAACTGCCCGATAACCCAAAGAATTTGAAAAGCCGGCTTCGGATAAGCGCGCTTATACAGTACTGTAATAATGTGCATAATAAAAATTAATATTGCATAGAAAAATGGCTGTGTTAGTTTATAAGTGAGAGTAAGGGGCAGATTTGGTGTCATTTGCATTAGTTACCTATCTTTACTTTAGAAAATTTACATGCTGGAGAGAGAGGTTGATCTAATAGGTATATGCACCAAGGTAAGGATATATCACTATGTAAATGGCACTGACTCTAGTTATGAACTTTTAGGCAGCTTGCCTATTATTATTATTATTATTATTATTATTATTATTCTTATTATTCTTATTATTATTATTATTCTTATTATTCTTATTACTCTTATTATTCTTATTATTATTATTATTATTATTATTACTGTATTATTATTCTTATTCTTATTCTTATTCTTATTATTCATTGTGTCGGGCCAGGCAACCAGTGTGTATTCATTCACATTAAGCTTATATCGAGGTCCCCCCCCCCCCCCCCCTTCACCACATTCCACAAGGTCGAATTACTGATCCCGCCCAGGATGCAACCCCACAACAAGCTGTAACTCCTGAGTACCTACTAACTGCTAGGTGAACAGAGGCATTAGGTGATAGGAAATGCACCCAATCATTTTTGCCCACGGCCATACCACGTTGAGAACACCGCTTCTCCTCCGATTAGCGAAGTTAAACAACGTTGGGTTTGGTTAGTACTTGGATGGGTGACCGCCTGGGAACACCAAATGCTGTTAGGCCTGGTCGACGACCGGGCCGCGGGGACGCTGAGCCCCGGAAGCACCTCAGGGTGCCCTCCCCGGGATTTGAACCCGGAATTCTTGATTGCGAGTTGAGAACGGACCCAACTGTACTACCGGGACCCTTGTTTGTTATTGTTTTCACATAAACATTTTCTTCTATTGTTAACACATTTGTTTATATACAGTACAGTACTTATATAATTGTTTGGATAGATTCATTCACTATAGCCATATTAACACATGTAATGGGAATCATTCTTCAAGCTTATAAATTTTTGTGTAAAACAAAGTGTTTATGCTGAATGATTTTCATGTTATCTAAACCAGCTCAATTGTAAAGTTCATTATCTACTGTAATACTAAACACAGATTATTGTAGCCAGTAAAGGAGGTAATAATAAAACTAAGCATTTGGTACTAAACATATTTATTACACATGTGCGTGTGCGCACACTACACACATGCCAGAAATGTGTGCACATGTGCATACACACACACAACTTAATTAGCATAGTTTAAAATGTTGGTGTTAAGAAGTACCTTGAGGTACAGTACTGTTGATGTATCGAGTTATTGTTGATGCAGCTTCAAATTCTTAAAATAAGTTTGACAGGCCAAGCTAGCCTAGCCTTGCACTGGAATGTTTTCATAAGTTAATGACAATTGTTAGTTTTATAATTGGTTGCTATTACATATTTTTTTAGGTCTTAAGAGTCTCTGAATGTGGTTAGTTCACACATTACTATAGTACAGTAATGTTTACTGGAACTAGGAGCAGGGTAAGTACATCACCTATTTAATTTTGTAAGAAAAAGTATCCCAAGTTTTAGATAAGCTAATGCATTTTTACAGAGCATTATTGGCCTTTTGAA